GCTCAACAACAATAAACCATCTCAGACCACTAATCACCCAACAAAAGGCTGCAGTCAGAATGATAACAAATTCCCACTACAGACAGCACACTCCACCAATATTCAAAACTCTAAACCTACTCACAATACAAAACATCCATACTTATTACTGCACCTACTACATACATAGAACACTTAACTCTGACATAAACCCTCCCCTCAAACATCTCCTTACCAACCTCAACAGAACACATGACCATAACACAAGACACAGATCATCTTTGATGTTCCTCGTGTCCATCTCACGCTATGCAAAAACTCAATGCACATAAAAGGCCCTAAAACCTGGAATTCATTACCTGTGAATATAAAAGAAACACTGTCTGTTTATAAATTCAAGTCTCTTCTCAAAAATCACTTACTCACCCACAACTAAATAAATACTGAATAATTGTATCTCATAAATTGTATCTCATATATGTATCTCATTATTGTATCTCATAAATGTCAATCTGTGACCCAATCAAACTTTGTTACTATTTAACTTCATTACCTAACATAATACTCCATTCTACTGATTACACAGCAACACAGTAATGACCATATGACCTGTCTTTGTAATACTCATTTGTACTAAATTGTTATCTGTTTACAATAATGTTTACCACTGAATATATCATTGCTTAGTTAATCTTAAGTTAATTTTAAGCTGCCCATAATGCTCTACATACAAGGGGCTTTGGCATGCTGCACTTTAAAAATTGTATTCCTTGTACTTCTCTGTATCATATTCAAATTAATAAATAAATAAATAAATAAATAAATTGCGGGCAAATTAGGTCAGTTTTGTCCCAGGATGCGACCCACACCAGTCGACTAACACCCAGGTACCCATTATTGCTGATGGCTGAACATAGACAACCGGTGTAAGGAAACACGCCTAATGCTTCTACCCTCGCCGGGAATCGAACCCGGACCCTCGCCATGTGAAGTGAGAACTTTAGTCACCAGGCTACGGGGCACCGTGACACCGGAGCACCATGGCACCGAGGCACCCTGTTATTGATGCTGCTACTGCTACTGCTGCTGTGATCAGGTAGTGAAGAGCATCATTTAGGAAGGGAGGTGGGGCAAGTAGCAGGCTTCCCTTGACACTCTCCAAGAAGGGAAAGTTACCTTCTTAGGCAATGAGTCTTCGTTCCCCAATAACCCTTACCCTCCCTCTCCCTTCTCCCTCACCTTGCTTCCCCCTCCCTTATCCACTAATCCCTACTCCCTGCCCCCCACTACACCTGCTTCCCTATACCAGTCGCCTCCCTTTTTACTTTATAGTGTATACTCTTCCTGCTCCTCTCCCTTCTTCCCTTTCTCTCTCTCTCTCTCTCTCTCTCTCTCTCTCTCTCTCTCTCTCTCTCTCTCTCTCTCTCTCTCTCTCTCTCTCTCTCTCTCTCTCTCCTCTCTCTCTCTCTCTCTCTCTCTCTCTCTCATTGTTTAGATAGCGGTACGCATCATCTGTATAATGTTTGAGGTTAATGCACTGGTGAGACACGAGAGATTTTCTATATCTGTTAGTCACGCAGTTCTCGTCGGGGAATCTGAGCTACCCTCTCTCTTCTTGGATCAAACTTGATTGTCTTTGCTTATTTTGTGATGGACGACCCACCGTCACACCTGTACGTGATGGACAATTCACCGTCACATCTGTACGTGATGGACGACCCACCGTCATACCTGTACGTGATGGACGACCCACCGTCACACATGTATGAGATGGAGGACCCACCATCACACATGCATGGGATGGAAGACCCACCGTCACACCTATATACAGTGAGAATTCCCTCTTGAGAATTCTGCAGTGTCGAGCACACAGCAAAACTCAACCTGTGAAGGATATACTTATATACATTCTCCTTGTGATTACATCTTGATAAATTGGTAAACCACTTATATGCTCGGGTATAATAGAATAATCAGTTATCTTAATGTATTCCAGGGTACGTTTATAGAGGTAATAACACGGACGATTGCCTCCTGCTTGCGTCCTTCTGGTGTGCGATAGTCATCATGCGATAGTTACTGTGTAAAAGTTATCATGCGATAGTTATCGTGACATCGAGCAACAGTAACTCTGAAGATATATAAATAAAACAATAGAAAATAAAAATATGATTGTTTAAGACAAAATATATGGTACTGTACTTGAACCTCACGAAACAAGCATTAAAAGCTGAGACGATGCCAAGACTGTATTAGCCTCTTGAAGATGTCTGGCTAATTCTTGGCAGGAGAATGGAGGGAGGGGGAGAGGGGAGGATGGAGGGGCCGAAAAGGGGAAAGGGGGAAGGGGTTAAGGTCATGTAAGGAGCCATAAAATCCGAGTCTTTGAAGGGGTAATGTTAAGAAAGGGGTGTGGGGTTCACTTGAGGTCACACAACTAACAACAACATAGGTCACGAAGGGAAAGTGAGTCCGCCGAGGAAGGTGTGGGGAATATGATCATTTTAGGATTATATTCATGAAAAAAAGGGTTTAAGAGCGAAGGTGTGATAGAGCGCCTGGGGAACTGAGAGGAAATCAGATGACAGCGGTGTCTGCAGTCTCAGCTTTGGCCTGGTTCATCTGGTGGTCACTTCGTACATACAATAGCTCAGCTGGTTGTTGCTTGGTGACTGGTTATAAGACACGTAGTATATGGCTGAGGTTTATTAGTCTTGATGGAGATCGATACTGAGCGAAACGTCGTCAAAAGAAATACCCGTTCTGTAGCCCGGTGGCCTGGTGGCTAAAGCTCCCGCTTAACACACGGAGGGCCTGGGTTCGATTCCCGGCGGTGGAGACATTTCGACACGCTTCCTTACACCTGTTGTCCTGTTCACCTAGCAGCAAATAGGTACCTGGGTGTTAGTCGACTGGTGTGGGTCGCATCCTGGGGGATAAGATTGAGGACCCCAATGGAAATAAGTTAGACAGTCCTCGATGACGCACTGACTTTCTTGGGTTATCCTGGGTGGCTAACCCTCCGGGGTTAAAAATCCGAACGAAATCTTAACTCGGGTTCTTTACCTCACTCGTCAGCGTCATGCGCCGGTCAAGCCACCTACTGGCTGGTAATGAATAAATACTTGACCGCTGCACCTGACTGAAGTGAGCGAAGAGGTGGGTGGTAAGAACCGTGTCCTTCGTGTGACACTGTAAAGAGCTCCAGTGATCACATGTGCTCCGGCATGGATCGAGGGTTCCAATGGCTAACCGTGTACGATCTGCTCCTGTTGCAGGGGTCGTGTTCCAGCATCAACGGTAAAGAAGAGAAAAAGAGTTGAGTAGGAGGAGGAGAAGGTCACCTGCTCCCTGGGAGTTGATGAGCCCACTCCCGCTCATAAAAAGATGAGAGCAGGAGCTATTAACCTAACTTCGTGAGTTGTGAGGCGTTCATTATAATAGCTACTTGTAGGACGCGAGTGTTGTGGAGATGAGCGTCGTGCTGTGGGTTTCTCACATGAGCTGAGGGGACGGCTACTGTGTTTGTACCTATCTATTTCTGGCTACTGGGATCGAGTCTCGGCTCCTGGCCTAGCCTCTACACTACACTGTTCCTGGCATATAGACCTCCACATTTTATGCACATCGTTCCACTTCATAGATACCCTAAGGCTGAGGCACTTTTTAACATCTCTTAATGTTCATTTATTTTGGAAAATTTGCATCCTTGGGGATGCAAGAAGGAACCAAACAAATAATTGGCTAGTCTTTTCAACTGACCAGGCTTCCCAGTGGATGACTTGATTCAACCAGGCTGTTAGTGCAAGCCACGCGAAGTTTAATGTATGCACAACTGCCCAGTTAATCAGGAACATGTTTTGTTCTCTCTTCAGGATACCTAGTAGTTTGTTGGTAATCTCCCTTATACATGTAGGGAAGGTATTGAAAAGTCTTGGCCCCTTCACACTTGCTAAGTTTTTCCTTAGTATACTAATTACACACCTTCTCTTCACTGGGAGTCTTTGGTACAGTTTGTCAAAGCCTCTTGCTGTATAGGGAATGATTTGCTCTCGCAGATTTGGGATCAATCGCTCTAAAATTTTCCAGATGTACATATAATGTAACTTTCTCGCCTACGTTCCAAGGAGTACAGATCAAGGGATTTCAAACGTCCCTATTAATTAGGTGCTCGACTGAATTTATGCGAGTAGTGAAGGTTCTCTGCACATTCTCTACGTCTGCAGTTTTGTTTGTGTTGAATAGAGCTGTCAGAGTACAGTAGTATTCCAGCCTGGAGAGAACAAGTGATTTGAAGAGTATTATTTACTAGCTTGACATCTCTTGTTTTGAAGATTCTAGTTATCCAGCCTATCATTTTCCTTACGGTTATGACAGTGACAATTTTGTGCTTCTCGAATTGGCATGTTTACTCCCAGGTTTCTCACATTAGTCTTACGCTATGTTGAGTGATATGAGTTTGTTATATACTCCGTTCCTGTCTTTATTTTCCCATTCTTTCCATGACTAACTGAAACTTGTCCTCATTAAACATAATGTTGTCAGAAGTCCACTGGAAGACTGTTTCTATCATCCTGGAGGATTGTTGTGTCTTCTGTGGTAAGTACGTAAGTTCATTTAGACACTGGGACACTACTACAATTATCATACATAGGTTAGTTTAGTAGGTTTATTATACACCCCCATGAATGCCACTCTCATACTGATTCTAGTATCATCTGCACATTATACTGTGTTAGTGTTTGTCGATGATAATAATAATAATAATAATAATAATAATAATAATAATAATAATAATAATAAATAATAATTATTATTATTATTATTATTATTATTATTACTATTATTATTATTATTATTTGGCGAAGTGCTCTTGATCTACGGAAAAGAGGCAGCTGTCCCTTGGATCAAATGCATCTACCGCCCATTTCTCAGGCGCCCTCATAACCCTTACGGGTTCAGTGCTTCTCCGTGACTATTATACAAAAAAGTAATACGAGTTGAGGCAGGCATGGCGCACCTCACTTGTCTGAGGACCAGCTGATGTAAACAGTGTGGCAGCCATTACTGCTCCAGTGTGTCACTAGCTTCTGTTGCTCCTCCTTTTATACCAGTGTTCTTCTACCACAGTAGACTCTGCGTTCACTATAACACGTTCTTAAAGAACAAGAACAACCACACTAAACATGAACGCGCCGCCCACATTCGAATCATTTCTGCTGTTTGACGGAGAAAAGAAAATTATCAAGGAGGTTGATACGAAGGTAAAGTATTGAAAGGAAAACTTGTAGATGCTTCTAAATGGTTGCAGTATTATTAGTTTCCTCTTCAAAGGGGGTTCTTTGATGCAGGTGATGCTTAATGATCCTTGTTCAGTCGATAGGCTTTAAACCCCATTAGCCAGCCTCTCCTCCCCTTCCTTCAATATAATGTAAACTGTAATTGTGGTATAAGGATCTGTGCTAGAAAAAAATCTTTGTAAAAATTTTTATTTCCAGTAAATATTACAGTAAACAATTGTGAGACTATGACTTGCAGATTTAATGGAAAGCTTCTGGTTATGCAGACAATGTTGAGCAGCTTTCAAATTATGCTAAATCTACAGTACAGTGTTTTATTGTGAGTCACTTTGTGCTGTCCCAAGCTACTATACCTAATATTATTGCATATTAATTCTCTGCTTTCTATTTAGGTACCTAATGCAGCCATCTACACTATCAACAAGGAAGATCACACTCTGGGCAACATGATCCGCATGCAACTTCTCAAAGACCCAAATGTCATGTTTGCTGGTTACAAGAACCCTCATCCCCTCGAACACAAAGTTCTCCTTCGTATTCAGGTATAGTTTGTTGTCTTTCTCGTTGACTAGCTGATGAGGAATTTGTAAATATGGAGATATGGGCCTTGTATGGGTTGAGCAGTGATTTGTTACAGAAAATGTCCAATACTATGTTAGCTTTGTCATGGAGGTAGCTTTTGTGTAAATGGTAAGAAATGTAACCTAATGAAGCCTAACCTAACCTTACTCCATCATTGTTAGATATGGAAATAGGGTATCCTTCTTTGCATTTACTATGATTGGCTAACTGTCATAATTCAATATTAAACATTAACCCTGATGTGCTACACTTGTCAAAATTAATGTACTGTTTTTGCTAATACAGTGGAACCTCAAATATCAAACTTTCTTCGGTCCAGAAGGCTGTTCGAGTGCCTTTACCGAGTGAATTTATTCCCATCAGGAATAATGTAAATTAGATTAGTCCATTTCAGACCCTCAAAAATACACTTATAAAAGCACTTACAAAAATGCACTTACATAATTGGTCGTGTTGGGAGCAGTTCGATTTTTGAGGTTCCACTGTATTTCCCAAAATAACAATGTCCATAACACAAGAATGGAGGAAAACTGCAGCAGTTTTTCTCATCTGTATTTGGGAGGTCCCACTTGTATTAAATCCTTCTCATTCGTGTATTTGTCTAACCTATTTTTGAAGATACCTAGGAGCTTAGTTTCAACAACCCTACTTTGCAGATTGTTCCTCTTGCCAATTCTATTGCTGAACCAGTACATATTTCGTTCGTCCTTTCTGAATTTGAACTTACACAGTTTGAATCCATTATTTTAGCTTCTTTCTTGGTAGATATACTTAATAGCCTATTTGTATCCTTGATTTATGTCCATCTGCCAAAAGTATACTTTGATCATGTCTTCCTTCATTCTATGTCTTTCAAGAGATAGGTTCCGGGCCCTGACTCTGTCTTTGTATTCAAGATTTTTTGCACAGTATATTAATTTTGTCATCTTTCTCTGTATGTTTTCCATTGCATTTATATCCATCCTGTAGTACACCAACTAAAACTAGGCTGCATAATCTGAGGCTTTACTAATGATATGTCAGGCTTCTGGACTGTGGACTCGGTTACTTACACAGCTTGATATAAATCCAAGCATATCATAGCCTTATTATGCACTGTTGTTTTGCTTTCAGATTTCCAAGTCCTTTTCACATTCTGTATGGTAAAGTTCTATATGACTTAGTTTGTAAGTGCAGGGTTATTTACATTCCCAGGGATTAGGACTTAACACTTATCTGCATTGAACTACATCTGCAGGATAGTGATTACTTGTATTTTTAATATATTCATAATTTGCTCTTCACCTTATGTATTCCTTCTGATTTACTAGCATCACTAAGGATAGAGGATAAGATAGCATTACACATTACATCCCCTTTATTAATTCCTGTTATAAATGGAAAACAGGAATTAATAAAGGAGATGTAAATTAGTGTGCTAAAAGTATCTAGCCTAGATAGGACACACAGCAATGGATTTAAGTTGGAAAAATTCAGATTCAGGAAGGATATAGGAAAGCACTGGTTTGGTAATAGAGTTGTGGATGAGTGGAACAAACTCCCGCATACCGTCATAGAAGCTAAGATGTTGTGTAGTTTTAAAAATAGGTTAAATAAATACATGAGTGAGTGTGGAGTGGTGTGAGTTGGACCTGACCAGCTTGTGCTAGTAGGTCAGTCGCTGTACTCCTTCCTTAGTGAATGGGACCTGACCTGACTACCTTAAGGCATTGGCTTAAGCCAGTGAGTGAATTGGACCTGTCTTGCATGGCCAGTATGCCTGTTGCAGTGTTCCTTCTTTCTTATGTTCTTATATGCCCAAGTAAAAATAAATTAACCATATTAAACAAGGACCCCATTGGAATTGAGCCACATTGTTTGAATACTGGGTTATCTTGGGTTTAATTCTACATAAAATAGTTGTAAAATTATGCATGAATCCTAAATAAACACTTATAAGTCAAGTTATTAACCCTTTGACTGTTTTGGTCGTATATATACGTTATACGAGGTACCGTGTTTGACGTATATATACTCGTAAATTCTAGCGGCTTCAAATCAAGCAGGATTAAGGTGGTAGGCCCACATGTGAGAGAATGGGTCTGTGTGGTCAGTGTGCACCATATAAAAAAAATCCTGGAGCACAGTGCATAATGAGAAAAAAAAAACTACGACCATTTTTTTTTTAATTAAAATGCTGACTTTGTGGTCTATTTTCGTATAGTATTTATGGCTGTATTCTCGTTTTCTTGGTCTCATTTGATAGAATGGAAAACATATTATAGACATAGAGGTGATTTTGATTGGTTTTACTGTAAAAAGAACCTGGAAATGGAGCTCAAATTAGGGGAAATGTTTGATTTTTGTCGATGTTTAAAAGTAAACAGATGATGTCATTGTCCAATAAATGTCCAACTAGCCATTCTAATATGCAGTCATGAATGGGTTGACGTTATTTGTACAATTATTACAGTAGTGCAGTAGTCTGCATAACAGTAAATCTTTTATTTTTTGTTTGAATAAAAATTTCAAAATAGAAAGCAAGAGTAATATCAGAGGGGCCTGGAGACATGACTGATGAACAAAGAATATGTTATTTTAGAGCCAGGAATGTCTGCATTGTTCATTCTGGACCTTATTTTGAAATTGTCATATTTTTTAATTTTCATGAAATTGGCCAAATTGCAAAATTCTGAACATGTTATTGGGTAGTTGAAATTGGTAAATGGGCAGTTTCTTGTACTCAGTCGATAGAAAAAATGTTGTTCTAAAGAAATATCTATGAGTTTGGTCGACTGGAACAATGGAATTAGCCGAAAATAGGGCTCAAATTAGGCGAAATCTCCGATTTGTAAATATCGCCGAGGCCGCTAACTTCTCGAGAGCGTAATTCCATCAGTTTTCCATCAAATTTCGTTTTTTTGGTGTCATTACAATTGGGAAAAGATTCTCTATCATTTCATAAGAATTTTTTTTTTTTTTTTTTTTTTTTAATTTTGCGACACTAGGAGACACCTCAGGATTGGGGGTTGCGACAGTCAAGGGGTTAAGGGTGCATTGCAAGAACCAGGTTTGTGCTTTAAGTTGAGATCATAAATAGGGGTCAGATATGACCTGCAGGTGAGCCTATCAATTTCCTCTCTATAGTTACTCATGGTGAAATGGAAAAGACTCCTTCCTCTGTAAGCCAAGTGTGTTGTAAGAGGCAACTAAAATACCAGGAGCAAGGGGCTGGTAACCCCTTCTCCTATATAAATTACTAAATTTAAAAAGAAACTTTTCTTTTTCAGGCCACCCTGCCTCAGTAGGAGACAGCCTGTGTTTCAAAAAAAAATTAGTCATGGAAAATATTGACTTACAAAGTGAGCTAACAGCTCAGGTGGTTAAATCTGAATAATATCCTGAAATTGTCAAAATTTCGTTATCATTTTTGAGCTGTTCTCTTGATTTAAGATATGAATGGTGTATCTGAACATTGTATAATGATGTTTGCAAAATGTCAGCAGATGTCGGTTTAGCCATAGTCTCAGATATTGGCATTTAAAAATAACCGAGTCCTGGATGTGGAAAGTTCAGTGCCAGCACTTTGATAGAAGGGTAAGGATGTTGCAGTTCGGAGGGCCTTCTGAACTGTGATGTCATTATGCTTCTGGCCAGGCAGCAATTGAATGAATGGCATTGAATGTTTCTTGTTTCTTTGGGCAGCATACCTCAGTGAGAGATGACTGGTGTGTTATTGAAGAGATGACTGGTGTGTTATTGAAGAGATGACTGGTGTGTTATTGAAGAGATGACTGGTGTGTTATTGAAGAGATGACTGGTGTATTATTGAAGATTTTTTTTTTTTATTATCACACTGGCCGATTCCCACCAAGGCAGGGTGGCCCGAAAAAGAAAAACTTTCACCATCATTCACTCCATCACTGTCTTGCCAGAAGGATGCTTTACACTACAGTTTTTAAACTGCAACATTAACACCCCTCCTTCAGAGTGCAGGCACTGTACTTCCCATCTCCAGGACTCAAGTTCGGCCTGCCGGTTTCCCTGAACCCCTTCATAAATGTTACTTTGCTCACACTCCAACAGCACGTCAAGTATTAAAAACCATTCGTCTCCATTCACTCCTATCAAACACGCTCACGCACGCCTGCTGGAAGTCCAAGCCCCTCGCACACAAAACCTCCTTTACCCCCTCCCTCCAACCTTTCCTAGGCCGACCCCTACCCCGCCTTCCTTCCACTACAGACTGATGCACTCTCGAAGTCATTCTGTTTCGCTCCATTCTCTCTACATGTCCGAACCACCTCAACAACCCTTCCTCAGCCCTCTGGACAACAGTTTTGGTAATCCCGCACCTCCTCCTAACTTCCAAACTACGAATTCTCTGCATTAAAATTCACACCACACATTGCCCTCAGACATGACATCTCCACTGCCTCCAACCTTCTCCTCGCTGCAACATTCATCTCCCATGCTTCACACCCATATAAGAGTGTTGGTAAAACTATTCTCTCATACATTCCCCTCTTTGCCTCCAAGGACAAAGTTCTTTGTCTCCACAGACTCCTAAGTGCACCACTCACCCTTTTCCCCTCATCAATTCTATGATTCACCTCATCCTTCATAGACCCATCCGCTGACACATCCACTCCCAAATATCTGAATACATTCACCTCCTCCATACTCTCTCCTCCAATCTGATATCCAATCTTTCATCACCTAATATTTTTGTTATCCTCATAACCTTACTCTTTCCTGTATTCACTTTTAATTTTCTTCTTTTGCACACCCCTCCAAATTCATCCACCATCTCTGCAACTTCTCTTCAGAATCTCCAAGAGCACAGTGTCATCAGCAAAGAGCAACTGTGACAACTCCCACTTTGTGTGATTCTTTATCTTTTAACTCCACGCCTCTTGTCAAGACCCTCGCATTTACTTCTCTTACAACCCCATCTATAAATATATTAAAAAAACCCACGGTGACATCACACATCCTTGTCTAAGGCCTACTTTTACTGGGAAATAATTTCCCTCTTTCCTATGTACTCTAACTTGAGCCTCACTATCCTTGTAAAAACTCTTCACTGCTTTCAGTAACCTACCTCCTACACCATACACCTGCAACATCTGCAGCATTGCCCCCCTATCCACCCTGTCATACGCCTTTTCCAAATCCATAAATGCCACAAAGACCTCTTTAGCCTTATCTAAATACTGTTCACTTATGTGTTTCACTGTAAACACCTGGTCCACACACCCCCCTACCTTTCCTAAAGCCTCCTTGTTCATCTGCTATCCTATTCTCCGTCTTACTTTTAATTCTTTCAATAATAACTCTACCATACACGTTACCAGGTATACTCAACAGACTTATCCCCCTATAATTTTTGCACTCTCTTTTGTCCCCTTTGCCTTTATACAAAGGAACTATGCATGCTCTCTGCCAATCCCTAGGTACCTTACCCTCTTCCATACATTTATTAAATAATTGCACCAACCACTCCAAAACTATATCCCCACCTGCTTTAACATTTCTATCTTTATCCCATCAATCCCGGCTGCCTTACCCCCTTTCATTTTACCTACTGCCTCACGAACTTCCCCCACACTCACAACTGGCTCTTCCTCACTCCTACAAGATGTTATTCCTCCTTGCCCTATACACGAAATCACAGCTTCCCTATCTTCATCAACATTTAACAATTCCTCAAAATACTCCCTCCATCTTCCCAATACCTCTAACTCTCCATTTAATAACTCTCCTCTCCTATTTTTAACTGACAAATCCATTTGTTCTCTAGGCTTCCTTAACTTGTTAATCTCACTCCAAAACTTTTTCTTATTTTCAACAAAATTTGTTGATAACATCTCACCCACTCTCTCATTTGCTCTCTTTTTACATTGCTTCACCACTCTCTTAACCTCTCTCTTTTTCTCCATATACTCTTCCCTCCTTGCATCACTTCTACTTTGTAAAAACTTCTCATATGCTAACTTTTTCTCCCTTACTACTCTCTTTACATCATCATTCCACCAATCGCTCCTCTTCCCTCCCACACCCACTTTCCTGTAACCACAAACTTCTGCTGAACACTCTAACACTACATTTTTAAACCTACCCCATACCTCTTCGACCCCATTGCCTATACTCTCATTAGCCCATCTATCCTCCAATAGCTGTTTATATCTTTCCCTAACTGCCTCCTCTTTTAGTTTATAAACCTTCACCTCTCTCTCTTCCCTGATGCTTCTATTCTCCTTGTATCCCATCTACCTTTTACTCTTAGTGTAGCTACAACTAGAAAGTGATCTGATATATCTGTGGCCCCTCTATAAACATGTACATCCTGAAGTCTACTCAACAGTCTTTTATCTACCAATACATAATCCAACAAACTACTGTCATTTCGCCCTACATCATATCTTGTATACTTATTTATCCTCTTTTTCTTAAAATATGTATTACCTATAACTAGGTAATTGGATTAATAATATACTAAGCTATATGTATACAAGTAACTTTACAAAAAAAAATATTTAATCTCTCTCTCTCTCTTTTAGACCATAGATGCCAGTTATACGCCACATGATGCCTTCATGAATGCCATCACAGACCTGATCTCCGAACTCTCACTGCTAGAGGAACGATTCAGAGAGGCTATACGAGAAAAGAAGGAAGGTTTTGACTAAGGCACCTTTGTTTTATATTCAGTACTTACTTTTCATTGTCATGCCATTATTTGTTGTCATATTCATTAGACATTGTTTAAACCCTTAGATCAAACATCATTTTCATCAAGTTGGAGTTTCGGGTGTAGAATATCTCATTGTAAAATTATCTTTAGTTTGAAGTGTCTATCTTTGTATCTTCTTGGACAGATCATCTACTGTAATTTGTTTCCAAAAACAAGTGGAAAAAAAATCTTAAATTCCCAGAAATGTAAAAAACATGTTTTAACTAATCTGTACCAAATGTATTAAAATATATTTTTTGACAAATATGGGCCCACTACACATGCAATGTTAGAATTGGTATACGTAGTTACGTACAGTTTTTTCTAATGCGCTATAAACATTTTAAATATTTCATGAAACTTACCAGTAAACAATAATAGTCGGTTAATGGCTTACTCTCAGCAGTCTCCATAATACTGATTATCATAACTTCTGAATATTTTTTCCCTTCTGAGTTTTTGGCCCAAATTTAGGTCAGTTTATTATTGTTACATTGATGAGGGAAGGGAAGGTCAGGTCAGTTTAAAAATTGTTCAAACAAAGAAAATGAATTATCCCTACTTTTGGATTTGCTGATTAGAACTACTAATAGCCAGATAGATATTAGACTTTTCTTTTGGGGTGGATGATATTCTGTAGTTATTTCACCATTTACCATAATATGAATATTTTCCTGATTTTGTATGACTGACTGATAGAAGAAAACTTTGCAGAAAAGATAAAGAACTTTTATTAACATCATTTTTGATAGTTCAGTAAACCCTCAATTTAATGGACAAATGGGGGAGGGGGATGTTAATTAAAAGTCAATTCCCATTGAATGTAACATTTTTCCTTGATTTTAACAATTACTGGGAATTTTCAGATTTAATGAACTTTGCCCATTCTGATTTATGCCATGGGAAGGGCAGATTAAATTCCTTGGTGCAAGAGCCCCTGACCAGCATAAAGGACTCCCTTGAGGAGCCCATGAAAAGTAGATATACATATACTGTAGGTAAATTGAAATGAAAATTAGATTTAAACTGTATGGTTATGAATTTTTCTCATTCAGTGAACAGCCCTTTAAATTTGCATTCTTTTGTTGACTTGTAGAAATAATCAATACTTAAATCTTAAGTATTGATTATTTCTACAAGTCAACAAAAGAATGCAAATTAAAGTGTGCTGTTCACTGAATGAAAAAATTCAATACTAAACAGTTTAAATCTAATACTGTAGGTAAACTGAATATCTACATATATATGGTTATTTTCATGGGCCCCTCAATAGAGGCTTTTAGTGAGGGGGCTTTTGATCCAAGGAATTGAACCTGGCATCCCCCTCCTTGGATCAAACCTGAATACCTCGTATTTCTCAAGCATTAGAACCCATATGGGTTTAGCTCTTTTACCTAATTAAAATGAATCTCCCATATACGCATATTATAATCAAGGGGGAAGCACTAAACCCGTAGGATTATACAGCGCCTGTGGGGAGGATGTGGAAGGTTTTTGGGTTTCGGGGAACTGGAGCACAGATCCAATTCCCTAGATCAAGATATGGTCCATATATGGCCCCTCAAGGAACCTTCCTTGAGGGGCCATATGAGCAAAACTTATCACTCAAAACTCAATACTAATTCCTTCAAGATGGGTATTGCACAAATTCTTCAGTTACCCTCATATTTTTAATCAGTGTGATTAACTGGTATGAAACTAAAAGCACCAAACAAAATTTTATTTGCCTTTGCATTACATTAAAAAAAAATTCTTGTCACCTTATCTGCAGGCAGCCATTATTCCTGCCACAGAATCAAACTCAATCTTTTCAGTAATGTTCTTGGTCTTGACAGTTTCCTCCTGGTTGGCAATAAACACATAAGATTCCTCAGTCTCCTTCCACCCATACTTGTTCATCCAATGCTGCAGGGCCAACTCTGAAAGAATAGGACATGCATGATAAATGAGACCACTATCTTTAATAGATTTGTGCCTGCTTAATTACCATGTTGCCCTATTTTATCCTCATAGAAACTAAGCATCCTTGCTGATACTATGGGATAAAAATTTATGTATCAAAATTATTCTCAAAAAGCAAAATACAACCTTCATTTGAAATTATGCAGGCTGTATTACTAATTCTTATAATACCTACAAAACATGTTTAACATGTGCTGGTCATATAGTACCTCAAGGTGCCACCTAGAGCAGTAATAAGGATGCATGCAGTAATGAGAAGTTAAGATTAATGGGGAGGTGACTATTTAAAAGACCATTTAGCACTGTCCACTCAAAGTCTAGTATTAAAACATGAAGGAGCACAAGTCTGATGGTCTACAAGAGTCACAGTACCAATATGTAGGACATACAAGACAAAAGGGTAAGGAAATAATGTCCTCAAATACCACAATTTCACCCACCCCAAAGAAAATGATACCTATTACAATCTCTTAATTAAAAGAAGTACTGGTTCACATCAAGGTGAAACTAGGTAGTGTTATGGAAGATGTGGGGTAAGGAGGAGGTATAGAGAGCTGCATTATAACGTTTGGATAAACTCGCATACAGAATATATCGGTGAGCACTAAAAGTGCACTTTCACGTCTACCTTTCATTTAACTGCTTATAATTCTACCACATTTTCACTGCCTTGTGACTCGTCTAATTTAATATCAATTATAGCATTTCATTTACCTAACACATGCAACAACTTACCATCAATGTTGCCAAGAAGCTGTGCCAAAACAGGCTTTTCTATATGCTGATAAGTTATTGTTATAACATGACAGATGTACTTGCGTATACTATCGTTGAAGTCCTTGATGCCAGAAATCTGAAAGATTTTTAAAATGTTAACATTTTTCCAAGAAATCTTTCTAGAGTAATTTAAAATATTTGCATGTTACCCAAATTTCTTCTCTAAATAAAAGCAAATGGAGGGACACTTGTTCAAAATAAACTTAACTAATAGGCTAAGTTTTGCCTGAGATGCTATGCATTCTTTTGACCTTCATCTTATTATATGCCCTGTGCAATAACACTAAAATTTAGATTAGTATTTGCATTTGTATTTGACCAGTATTAGTAAAAACTTCCCCAAATGTTATAGCCAACTTTTGTACGAAAACTTCCAACAAACTTCTTAGAAAATATTCCAGTAGTAATAAGTAGTTAACCCTTTCAGGGTCCAAGGCCAAAATCTGAAGTGGTGCTCCAGTGTCCAAGAAATTTTGAAAAAAAAAAAAAATCTTACAGAATTGAAGAGCATATTTTTGAGGGTAATAAGACAAAAAAAAAAAAAATCTGATCAGTACTTACCGAGATACAGTGCCAAGAAGTTTGTCCAAAATGATGTGGTGGTGGCAACATCAACGAATTCCACATACGCGCATTACTTTATTTAGCGGCTTTTGTAGTTTTTTCTTTTCTTTTCCAATTTTTTTCTTTTCCTACTAACATTTGGGGCCTGAGAGACCAATACTGTATATAATGTACGTATATATATAAACTCACTGTATTGAACACAATAACCGCACTAAAGTTATTATCATATTATTGTTTACCACTGTTGTTTTTACAATAAACATGCACAAATCTTGTATAATACTAATGTTCTATCATATATTTACAATCACTGGACATGGTTTTAGAACTGCTGGAGCTTGTGGAACTCCTTGAAACAAGGCACCATACACAGAGGCACCTTACATTCCTCACACATAAACCGAGTGTCTTTGCGTCTTTGTTGCCGTCGTTTTGTTTGTGCACAGACGATGCATCTCTTCTGAGCAAATTTCTTCTGAGTTGAAGGAAGCTGTATTATGAAATGATCACCTTCCCTCCTCAAATGCTTGGGTATATCCTGAGGAATTCGAGGACCTTGTTGTATAGCAGGTGTTCTTACCTGGTACTTCATTATGAGTTGTCTGACAACAGACAAACAAAATTCACCATACGGTGGTCTGTTGCCAGTCTTTATTTGGTACATATTATATGCATTGAGCATTGAAATGTCCATGAGATGGAAGAAAAGTTTCATGTACCACTTGTAACTCTTACGAACACAATCAACAAAACCAATCTGCATGTCACATTTGTCAACCAAGCGCATGTTTTGTGTATAATCAATCACTGTCACTGGTTTTCGAATACGTTCATTAGTCAATCAACTTTGCCACTGTCTTGCATTTCATTACGGTGAATGGTTGTCAACAATGTGACATCTCGTTTGTCATGCCATGATGTCACTGGCAGTAAACACCTGCACGTCATCACCACGAGCACCTGCGCTGAGCCTGGGCACATGTTCACAATTAGAACGCGTTGTGCCACACACATCTGCCTTGTTCACTCGCATCAAATCACTGAGTAATGGGCTTGTGTACCAGTTATTATTATTATCACACTGGCCTATTCCCACCAAGGCAGGGTGGCCCGAAAAAGAAAAACTTTCACCATCATTCACTCCATCACTGCCTTGCCAGAAGGGTGCTTTACACTACAGTTTTTAAACTGCAACATTAACACCCCTCCTTCAGAGTGCAGGCACTGTACTTCCCATCTCCAGTTATCGGTATATAATGTATGCCCCTTACCAAGATAAGGTGCCATCATGTTTCTCACTACGTCACCTGAGATGCCCAATAACATCTTGGTATCTTTCGATGTTTTACTTCCCGTGTATACAACAATATCCAACACCAGGCCACTGTCACAGTCACAGAGTACAAACAGTTTTATACCAAAGCGTTTCCTCTTGCTCAGTATATACTGCTTGAATGACAGTCTACCTTTGAACAATTACGAGATTCTTGAATGGATAAAAGTATATGCTGAACTTTTGTTTGAGATACATAAAAACATTTCTAATCTTGTATACAGTGGACCCCCGCTTAACGATCACCTCCAAATGCGACCAATTATGTAAGTGTATTTATGTAAGTGCGTTTGTACGTGTATGTTTGGGGGTCTGAAATGGACTAATCTACTTCACAATATTCCTTAAGGGAAAAAATTCGGTCAGTAATGGCACCTGAACATACTACTGGAATGAAAAAAGTTCGTTAACCGGGGGTCCACTGTAATCTGTCACTTCTGTCAGGCCTGGTTTTGTCAGAGAAGTGCAACATATGTAACAGTAAGATAAACCTGTTCACTGGGATGATTTCACTGAAGACCTGGGTAGAAATAAGCCGATCTGTGGACCAGTGTGCTTTTATATTATGCTTATAGACATGAGGCATAAGCATTATTGTTGCAAAAATAAAATACATTTCTGCAACAGTCGTCTCTTTCCACCGGTGTAGTCTTGACTGTGGTGATATGATCGTATTTGCCATGGTGTACTCAAAATACTTATTACTTTCCCTGACAATAGTTTCCATCAATGGCTGGTCAAAGAATAATTCAAAGAATTCCAGTTCATTGGCCGTGGTTCCAAGGGGACAAGTAGGTAGAATTCCACTTTGAGAGTCATCAAAGTGGTGGGGCTTGGGAACAAAATTGGTATTTTGCTGCCAATCCCAGATACGGTTTGCTGGTGGATACTGGACATCATAGGCTGGTTGTGCGGGTGGTTGTGGTGGGCTGGTGGCTGACGCTCCACTTTGTCCTTGAACTGAGGAGTCAGCATCGTGGGTCCCAGCCTGGGCTGGTGAGTCATGCATGGCGGTGCCACTACCATCACCACTACCACCATCTACTGATGCCTGTGGTCTATCCATGCCAAGTGTAGCCACATCATCCTCACTATCACTATCTAAACCTGGTGTAGGGCCACGGGATGTACTCCGGGATGTACTCCGTCCCCTGGGCACAGCATAGGGTACACTACCCGAGCGCATGCAGTGGCGTACATACTGACGCTTCACTGGTGAATATGATTCTTCACTATCACTACTCGAATGATCGTCAAGCACAATAAAATCACAATCCACGTCACTATCATCATCATTACTGAAGTCAGAGGCCTGGCCACACGAAAATATTAGTTTTCTCTTGCGTTGAGGTACAACTGACCGTGGCTGACGAGTGCCCACACCAAAGGTAGAAGGTTGAGGATCGTCAGGGTTTTCTGCACTATTATCGATATCCTGGTCGTTCCTTTCAGTCACTAACTGATCAAAGCCATAGAATTTGTCTTCATTTCCACTTCCATCAGTGTCAGAACTATCAGATAGGAAGAGGAGAGTCCCAATTTTCCGTGGAGTGAGAGCTGACTTGCGACGAGGCATGGTGAACAAGGGTAACTGAGCCGGTGTTCCCACAATGCTATGCGGGCGCGTAGATTTTTTTTTTATGGCGCACACCCACCACGCAGACCCGTTCTCTCACATGTAGGCCTATGAGCGCTTTCGCGCTAAATTTGATGGCGCTAGAATTTTGCCGTAGATCTACAGTTTGGACACTCAACGTGAAGCCGTAGATCTACGGGACGGACCCTGAAAGGGTTAAGACTGCCCAAAGTACTCTACATAATCAATAGCTTCGTGCAAACTATGTCAATGATATCACCGTTTCCAAATCAATTGTAATTCATACTTTGTAGAAATAGAGTTTATCATTTATCACTGAAAATGGTCAATGGTCCAGTTGGACCAAAATGTTATTACTTTTCCTCTCCTAAATGTGGGTTATTTGTGTATTGTTCCAGCTACAGTACTGTAAGTCACTGAATAGCTACTCTCAGTTGGACAAGTTTGAAGGATTATTATTATATTTATGGGGAAGTGCTACAACCACAGGGGTCATACAGAGCCTGGGAAAATGACAATCAGGCTTAATCAAAGGAAGGGAAGAACAGGTCCAATTTCTTGCATCAAGAGCCTTCACAAGCATCAGCCAGCTTGTACATGTATAGTATACAATACCGACAAGATGAAGAATTAAGACATGCAACATCTGGGAATCTTTATTGCAGACGTTTTGCCATCCAGTGGCTTTATCACTACAAATTCAAGGACATAATATACAATCAGCCCCTCAGCCTTGGAGTTGAAGAGCACCATAGTCATGAAGAATCTGAGGCACAAGCATGAAGACTGACGTATATATATACTGGCATCAGGCGAGAGACATGAAGATGAAGACATTGTCATTGGCAGGCGGGATTCTCCAATGGAAGTAGGTCATACCCGAGGGATGGGCTAGTAGTAGTTAAAAAGATTATGGAGATGTCCTCTGAACCAAGATTCCATGATGTTGAAATGTCTGATTAGATCTTGGTTCAGAAGACATCTCCACAACCTTCTTAACTACTACTGGCCCGTCCCTTGAGTATGACCTACTGATACACCAGTGACAACGATTTCGTCTACTACACGTCCCTCAACTGACACCAGCATATAAGTGCCAATTTTCATGCCCATGCTTCAGACTCTTCATGATTATGGTGCTCTTCACCAACTCCAAGGCTGAAGGACTCATTACCTCATCTTTTGTATATAGCTCTACTGTCTTCTTATTATGTCCTTGAATTTGTACTGATAAAGCTGGTGAAACGTCTATGATAAAGATACCCAAATGTTGCACGTGTCTTAATTCTTCATCGAGAAACTTTCTATTGAACCTGGAGCATTTAAATCATGAGTGTATCACAAACAAAAATAGAACCACTCGGTTAAAACCATAAAAGTATAGATTTTGTAAAAACTTTGAACAGGCAGTCCCTAATTAACAAGTAGACTGCATTAAAAAAATTTATTTTGAATACTTGCAAAGCAGTCTTAAAAAAATTAAGAACATTTTTTGCCAAATTTTATTGTAAAAAATATTGTACATAAACCATACCCCCGGCCGGGATTGAACCCGCGGTCATAGAGTCTCAAAACTCCAGCCCGTCGCGTTAGCCACTAGACCAGCTAGCCAGTTTTGAGACTATGACCGCGGGTTCAATCCCGGCCGGGGGTATGGTTTGTTTGCAATCGTGTCATTACGATTTCTTGAGTAATGTTGTACATACTTTATAGATAACTGTACATCAAGGCTTGGTGGCAAACTTTGATGGAATTTGGACATCAAAAAATACATAAATCCATTGAAATCAAACTGTCCTAAAAATATCCAATTTTGTTTCTAAAATTTTGAGTGTGGTTGCACAAACTTAAAAAAAAAAAAATCACTTGTAATAATTTATGTGCATCACCACTTATTCAAAAACATATGCTAGGGAGAGATAACAAAAGTCCTCCCATACTACTACATGAATTTGTTCTGTGTTGTACTTATAAAAGCAAACACTTATAATGAGACTGCTTGTACAACACCATAATTTTTCCAAAATTCACACCCATCTGTCAATAAATTTTGCTGAGACTAAGAAAAAAGTTATTATTATTATTATTATCACACTGGCCGATTCCCACCAAGGCAGGGTGGCCCGAAAAAGAAAAACTTTCACCATCATTCACTCCATCACTGTCTTGCCAGAAGGGTGCTTTAACACTACAGTTTTTAAACTGCAACATTAACACCCCTCCTTCAGAGTGCAGGCACTGTACTTCCCATCTCCAGGACTCAAGTCCGGCCTGCCGGTTTCCCTGAACCCCTTCATAAATGTTACTTTGCTCACACTCCAACAGCACATCAAGTATTAAAAACCATTTGTCTCCATTCACTCCTATCAAACACGCTCACGCATGCCTGCTGGAAGTCCAAGCCCCTCGCACACAAAACCTCATTTACCCCCTCCCTCCAACCTTTCCTAGGCCAACCCCTACCCCGCCTTCCTTCCACTACAGACTGATACACTCTTGAAGTCATTCTGTTTCGCTCCATTCTCTCCACATTTCCGAACCACCTCAACAACCCTTCCTCAGCCCTCTGGACAACAGTTTTGGTAATCCTGCACCTCCTCCTAACTTCCAAACTATGAATTCTCTGCATTATATTCACACCACACACTGCTCTCAGACATGACATCTCCACTGCCTCCAGCCTTCTCCTCGCTGCAACATTCATCACCCATGCTTCACACCCATATAAGAGCGTTTGGAGTGAAATTCATTAAGTGAAAAAGCCTAAGCAACAAGTAGATTTAACAGTTAAAAACAGAAGAAGGGAGTTGGAGGTATTGGGAAGATGGAGGGAATATTCTGAACTGTTAAATATTGATGAAGAAAGATATAAATACTTTATATAAAATAAAATAAATGCATAATAAATTCTCATAACATACAAATAAGCATACAACATACCAACTCTTCATACTGCTTTTGGACACCCCAATAGGTGCCAAACTGGCACATTTCTAGGAGGTCGTGCAGGTACATGATGCGTTTGATATAAGCATCCTCCATCTGAAAATTGTCAAGTCCTGTTATAGACAACTATGAAAAATATTTTCTTAATTCACACCAGTAAAATTAATTGTTTATGATTACTTTGAAAAGTCAATAGACAGGTCTTTTAATTTCAAGCCATATAACCATCCAAATCAGCCACCTCTGATGAACCCAATGGTAGGCTGAGGCAAGAAGAGAAATTTCACTATACTGAAGTGTACTGAATTTGTTCCTGGTTATTATTTACATTAAGATTAGAATTTAATCAACAGCAAATAGATATATATTCAACCTCAGAGACCCTCTCTAGCCTGTGACTAAAGCCAAAACATTTTTTTTTTCCAACAAACCGGCTGTATCCCACCAAGGCAAGGTGGCCCAAAAAGAAAAACAAAAGTTTCTCTTTTTAAATTTAGTAATTTATACAGGAGAAGGGGTTACTAGCCCCTTGCTCCCGGCATTTTAGTTGCCTCTTACGACACGCATAGCTTACGGAGGAAGAATTCTGTTCCACTTCCCCATGGAGCCAAAACATACAGCTCTCTCTTAAATGCATTTCTGTCCACGTGGTTCACATTTTCCATTAACCAGTGCTTATGACACGTATTTGAGAATTAATCAATTTATTCTAAATGTCATTCACTTAAACTTTAAAATAACAAAATATGGAATCATTATATTACAATATAAAGAAGTAAACTCTAATGTGAATTTACTGTATTAATAGTCTTTAAACACTGTATATTAATTAAAAAAATGGGAGTCTTGTGCACACCTCAAATCATTACCGTTACACAAACAGAAATCATTAAAGCCTTTTAATATTGCATATCTTAATGTCTGTAAATACTTGACAGATTTAACCATTTTTTAAGATTTGTTCTAAATAAAAACTAACCATAGCAACAGTAATAATTTGGAGAAGGTGCATTATAGGAAAGTATGCATACCACAATCATTACATATAGTAAACCCTCGATATACAGGATTAACAGGGTGAAGTGAGTTGCTGGTAATGGCAACTGTGGTGAATAGAGAAGAAATTATTTTGCCAAGACAGTACAGCAATAAATTAACAATAACCAACAATTCTGTAACTAACAGACATTAACTGTTGTTTCCAAATCAATGACGTAGCAGACTTTATTCCAAATTTCTGAAGTTTGTTATATGGAGGCCTACTATATACAGGGTTTATTATATATTCTTTATGAAAAACTGATATACAGACTGTACGTTGCTTTGTCCCCTCACCTGAACGTGTCCCAGCAGACACTTGCAGAGAACAAAGTCTGTGTGTGGTAGATTGGTGAGTGCTTTCATGAGGATTTTGCATGCTACAGTGCTCTGGTACTTGGCAGGGTTGAACTGATACAGCTTGAGAAGCGCGAGATTGGCTTCTAGGTCATAGGTGTTTTCCCGAGCCTGAAGCTCTACGTACCTCTCCAAGGTAGAGATGTTCTCTGGGTTATACCTGTGAGGAAAATTAAATGCCATTAAGAAGAATAATCTCAAATATAACTATCAAACATTGTTATATTTCACTAATCAGCTGGAATCCTCAACAGAAACAGTGTAAAGGTTCCATGTTCCCTCAACCACATCAAGATCCACCTAATGCCCCTGGTCACCTAGCAGGAGGTAGGTATCTGGGTGTTAGTCAAATGTTGTGTGTTGCATCCTGGGGGGTGGCAGTATACCCTAGACAGGTCTAGGCTTTGAAGTGAGCTGAGGTATGATAACAGCTCTTTGCCTGTAAGACTGGTGCTTAAAAAAAAAAAATACAAACTCGATTCTTGCACCATCACTGAAGACACTGCATTATATGATTCAGGAGAAAGTGCTAAACCCATAAATGTCATACAACACTCTGGGAATGGGAGGTTGTTAGGTTTAATGAAGGGGAGGGTAGCTTGAAATCCTCAGATAAAGAGCCCTGTACCAATATCAAGTTCCCAGCTCCAGTCCCTTAAAATGTGGAGCTCCACAGTTTTTGTGAACTCAAAAGAAGCAAGATAATGTATATATGTAAGAAAGTACTTCCAGGTACACTTACGTACTAGTATACCATTATATGGGAAGCGCTAAACCCGTTAGTCATAGAGCCTAGGAAAGGGAAAGCGTAAACTATCTCCAATTCCGTGAATCAAGAACCCTTCACTAGCATCAATGTAACCTTCATGAAGGGACTTTTATTAGCATATTAATTTACCGTCACATCAAGACCAGGTCGTATGGCCGGACTTCAACTCACTCAACACGACAAAATGCCATACTATTTTGTATTAATATCCACAAATACTTAACCACAGTTACCTTTGTTATTAGTTAAGCACACGTATATGGTTTTATAAAGACTTACCTCTCAATCCCTCGCAACATAGAAGCCACAGTGGACCTCATAGCTTCTGCTTGTTCCACCATGTTGACGATGACACAAACGTTGCTCCACGAAATTACCAAATATATGTATATATCCTGTATTATTAGTGCTCAATTTAAAGCCTAGACCGGATTAAAACAAATAAACAACGATATAATTATTCAAATTATTTCTGATACAAAGTTGGATATATAAAAAAGAAATTTACGCAAGCATAAATGTCAAGAGTCACCATTGAGTTCGTAATTTTTAATTGCAATGAAAGTTTGTTTATTATTTATGTATATAAAATAATTTTTAAACATATTATAAGTGTTTAACCTATTAAATAATCATAAATATATAATCTACCCAACTTGTTCATGATAAGGGATGATTCGTATAAGGAAATTTTAAGTAAGCAAGAAATTTTAATAACGAAAACGATTTATATATAATGAAAAAATCTTGCAATTAATATGTCATTAAATAATGTAATATAGATATTATCACATCTACCTGACAGCAGCAACAGCGACAAGATCTAGAAAACCGTGAAATTTTATTTTCTTCTGGTAATACTACTAGTAACTGACTCACGAAATCGTAATGACATGATTGCAAACAAACCATAACACACATATAGGAGAAAGAAACTTAGTGATGATGTTTCGGTCCGACTTGGATCATTAATTAGCTAGTCAATGGTCCAAGACCGACCGAAAAATCGTCATTAGTTTGTCTTATGTGCGAGTTATTTGTGTTTTGTTCTAGTCACGGTATTGTGACTATTCTTACTACTACTACGACTATTACTACTACCATTACTACTACCATTACTACTACGACTATTACTACTACCATTACTACTACGACTATTACTACTACCATTACTACTACGACTATTACTACTACCATTACTACTACGACTATTACTACTACCATTACTACTACGACTATTACTACTACCATTACTACTACGACTATTACTACTACCATTACTACTACGACTATTACTACTACGACTATTACTACTACCATTACTACTACGACTAATACTACTACCATTACTACTACGACTATTACTACTACCATTAATACTACGACTATTACTACTACCATTAATACTACGACTATTACTACTACCATTACTACTACGACTATTACTACTATCATTACTACTACGACTATTACTACTATCATTACTACTACGACTAATACTACTACCATTACTACTACGACTATTACTACTACCATTAATACTACGACTATTACTACTACCATTAATACTACGACTATTACTACTACCATTAATACTACGACTATTACTACTACCATTAATACTACGACTATTACTACTACCATTAATACTACGACTATTACTACTACCATTAATACTACGACTATTACTACTACCATTAATACTACGACTATTACTACTGCCATTAATACTACGACTATTACTACTACCATTAATACTACGACTATTACTACCATTACTGCTACGACTACTACCTCTCTCTCTGTATGTATATATATATATATATATATATGGAAAATTTTCTAGGCTGCTTACCTGTATGTACCTCAACATTATATACATACCAGTAATCTCATTGGGAGACAATCATATTGTTTACCGTAGTCACCCCGTGTAGACATGTGAGAAAACTTAACCACCCCTGGTCGCACCAAGTGGTCCCCTCGACCTCACAATCTTATCCATATCTATCCGAGACCAGTATGGATTGGGTAGCACCCACAAGTACGGTGCTACTAATTAATTGTGGACTGTATAGATTATATTAGTTTAACTGAATGAAGGGGGGGGGGGTAGGACACACATGGATACATCCGTCAAGGAAAACATTTGTACATAATCCCACTACTTACCAGATGTTCTCTGGTGGTCACTTGATGTAGCTGGATCACTCGTAACCTATTTAATTATAACATACCACTACTGGCCAGTCTAAGGTTGCTATAACTAGAAGGGTTACTTAACTGTGGGTGATTGATATTCCTCATTTCTTGATTCACCATCTCATTTTCGATGTCCTGCTACACCGACACGATTCTCATTCCAGCAGGGACGAGGTATCCGCTGGTTTGTCCTGCTTTAGACGTCGTGACTCAAGGAGTTTCCCTTTCCTCGTCTCGTTAACAACGAGGTCTGCGTGTTCACTCGGAGCAAACGACTTATTTCACTTCCATTATTCTCTTAACTTAGCAGTTATTATCATTAATTACATTACAATTCACAAGCCGATTTAACGTCTCATAACTATTATACAAAACTAGAGGTCACTCCATTAAGATCTGAGACCGATGAGTGATGATTAATCCAAGGGTAATTTTCCCCAGGACACAGTCCATTGTGACGCGTCAGTCACCCGGTCCTTCTCTTATCCACACTTTTCCACTCTATTACTGTGGTCCCGTAATCCCGTTCCCTCACTCTCCACCAGGAACAATTACGACACTTCTTATTTGAAATGAGGCCTGTATTAATCCTTAGGCCACCGTGAACGTCAATTTCGTGGTTCCATGTTTTTCTCAGCTTCCTCACCACCATTCAAAACAATACGCGCCAATCCCCGCACATCCGCGCATGCGCAAAGGGAACTCTTGGTTCTACTCTTATTTCAAATACATTTTTGACCCATATAGACACAATTAAACACCTATTAGGCACTATAGTTTCGGAAAATTAAAAAATTTTCCACAATTATATATATATATATATATATATATTATATATATATATATATATATATATATATATATATATATTATATATATATATATATATAATATATATATATATATATATTATACAATTTTGGGGGAGGCGCTAAACTCATAAGATCATACAATGCCTGGGGATGGGATATAAATAATCACGTTTGATCCGAGGAAGGAGAGAACAGCTCCAACAACCGGGATGAAGAGCCCCTCAGCGGCTACTGAAGACTATTATTAAAATCATAATTAAGCGCTAAAACCACAAGGGTCATGAAGCATCACTGGAGAGAGGGTGCCAGCCATGGTTACCATGACAACCGTATAAAACAAACATTCCAGGTGGCACAACTGCCACTATGGGGAAAATGGATCCCTTATTTTTAGCTCTAAGTTATTTTAAGAGACGCAAATTTGAAAAGTGTATAACAGCATGTACGGAACTGCTGGCCAAGAATCCTTATGATCAGGTAATTAAGGGCCATAATGGATTATTAATATCAAAACCAAGCGCTAAACCCACGAGGAAGGACCCCAGTGGAAAGTCACTTTGTCTGGACTTTTTTTTGTGGGGGGAATTTGAATGAGAGCTCTAGGCCTTTCGTGTTGCAATCATCACTCATCGGGAGCTTGCAGTGTTGCAGAAATGAGCAGGAAGTTAAGGCAGAGTTTAAATAATAAATTATTACAAAGACCCCAATGGAAATTAGTTATTTTGACTTTCTTGGGTTATCCCAGGTAATCTACACATACTGTTATGTGTGATAATTTATGTAACTTTTTATGTGTACCTGTACCCGAATAAACTTGCTTACCCGGACTTCCCACTCATTTCTGCAATATTGCAAGCTCCTGATGATGCATTAATTGCAACACAAAAGGTCTAGAGCTATTCATTCAACTTCCCCCATAGATATGTTACTATGTATGATAATTTATTTAACTGTATTAATGAGTACCTGTACCTAAATATACTTACATATATCTTAGTAACACCAGACACAAACATCTCTACGACATTCCCCGTGTCCGACTAAACCTTTACGAAAATTCAATGTACGTATGTCAAAGGCCCTAAAATCTGGAACACACTACCTGAAAACTCTAGAACTGCAGACACATTTATCACCTTCAAAACTACCATTAGAAAACATCTTATCTCCCTGATAACTACATAGAAACCACCTGGTGGTTCACACTTACACTCACTCACCCATTTGACTATAGCACAGAAATACGTATCTTAAATCTTATAATAATGATTCCTAACTAGTCATAAGTTTGCCTGTGATACTCCAATATAGAAACTATGTATTGTGCCAAAACAAAAACATTCACATTGCTAAACTCACAAACTAGTATTTAGTCACTTAGTATTTAGTCAACTTACTCCACAATTTATAATAATTTAGGGTTAAGAATTATTCTAAGTTTGCCCGAAATGCCTAGCCATGCTAGGTGTTCTAGTGGCCCCCTCTGTAATTAGTATTTTATTACATGTAAACCACACAATAACCAAGATATGTAAACCCCGCATTGTAATCCTTAGAGAATAAACTTTGATTTGATTTGATTTGATAGTACACAGTATCTCCTTTTATTGTAATTGATTTTCACACAGTTTTAACTTTTAAGGTTTAAATAATTTTCACAGTTTTAACATGTTTTAACTTTTAAGATTTAAATAATTTTAAGTTTTAACATGTTTTAACTTTTAAGGTTTAAATAATAAGATATTACAAGGACCCCAATAGAGTTAAGTCACTTTGAATTTTTTGGATTATCCTGAGTAATTTACAGATATTACTGTACTGTATATAATAACTGCACTTAATGTATACCTGTACCTAAATAAACATAGTACTTATCACTCAGTTTAATTATTACACGGTTTCCTTTTGTTGGATATACTTTGCATTATCTGCTGCATCTCTCACTCTTGTAAGAAGTTATTTCTGTGTGGGCAGATTTGTAACTAATTTTACCTTTCAAAAAACATAAAGCTCATGTAATTACATTACTGAAATATATCAGGCCGTGTGGAGTCTGAAGACACGAGCGCTCACTGAACAAGTGTGGGTCGATGAATGTGATGGTGAAGAGGAGGGTTTAGCCGATGTCTTAATGGATGACAATACTATAGCTTCTGTTGCACGACCTGGTACATCACTTCGTACTGCCCCTCCCTCCACCGCTGATGGACCCTCACAAACCTTCAGGTATTTACAAGTGCTTTGATATTATGGATAAAAAAAATTTTAAGCCTATTTTGAAATCAGAAGAACTTTATAATTAATTATTAATTTTGTAGGCCTTCAACACAGTCTGGTAGACCTCTGAGTGGAGTGGTTCGACCCGGTTCACAAGGTGGACGGCCTGGTACAATGGATCAGGCATTACGCACTCCTCGCACTGCTCAGACAGCACGACCTATGTCAGCTACATCTGGTATATTGATACAGCTTAGATTTTATTTACAAGTGAATCTCATATATTGTACGTATAATTACAGTAATGATATCTGTTGAAATAAACATTTAAACTTCATTTCTGTTTTAAATATTATTACCATGCATTGATCTTAAACTTTTGCATGGCACATACATGCTAAAAAACTAGCAACTTCTATGGTTATTGGCTGTAAAATGTTGTACTATAGTTAATAGAATTATTTTCTGATACACTAATGTATATTAAAGATGCAGAGAAGTTCTGCAGTTCATTGATAAATGATGCACAAGTCAAATAAAATGATTGTTTCCTGTCATACTGTGACTGTTTTATGTGTCATATGCAAAATTAATACACTGAAGCTTTAACATTTCCGTTATAATTACAGGTCGACATGTGCGTCTGGGTACAGCCTCAATGCTGTCAACAACAGAGGGACCATTTATCAATTTAGCGCGTTTAAATATTGCAAAGTACGCAACTCAGCAGAATATTGCAAAAGCCTTGTTTGAATATATTTACTTTCATGAAAATGATGTCAGGCATGTAAGTAACATTTGTTGTTTACTCTTATAGCACTGCAGCTACATTTTATTGCATTCAGCATTAAAACAAATTTCCTCTGATACACTTTAATATGTTGCAAGTCAGAGAAAATGTTTATATCAGTGCAATCAAGTCTTCAATTTTTATTTTTAATGTAATGCAATTCTTGTTAACCTGGACACTGTATTGTATTTGTGTACGGTACATGTACTGTACAGTATATGTAAAAACAATAAAACCTTGATTTAATTCATTTCAGATTTCATGGACAAAAGCCATGTTATGGACAAAATGTTTAAATCATAGATTGTTAATTATTGTTACAATCCACTTGGTAAATTAATTTTGGATTTAACAATCCATTGTATTGCCTAAATTGTTCGTTATTATTTTGATCTGGGTAAATTGATTTTGGTTTTAAAAGACAAATTTCTGTTAAATCCATTATTATTATTATAATCAAGGGGGAAGCGTTAAACCTGTAGAATTATACAGCGCCTGTGGGGGGGGATGTGGAAGGTATTCAGGCTTAATTCGGGGAACTGGAGCACAGACCCAGTTCCCTAGATCAAGAGCCCCTCACCAGCATCAAGGAACCTTCCTTGAGGGGCTGTTAAATCCAGACTTATCTGATACTGTTGCAATCAGGAAAAAATCTCATTCGGATTTAGCAGACAAATGGCATCAGCTGAATCCTCTCCCACCTATTAGTTCATTAATTAAATCAGTGTTTCATTACATATACTACATATGCAAAAATTAGGTAGGAGAGTTTATAAAATAAATTCCTTAAACATTTTTATTTATTACATATTTGGGAAATATTGTACTGTACTATACATAGAAATCTTGGCAATTCATGAGGTATACACATACTACATACATACTCTACATACATATTGAAAGGTTAATTGGTAGCAATTATGTATGCAGTGCATAATGTTAAAAGACAGATATTTACAGATTAATAATATAAGAAAACAGGGAAGACAGTGCACATACAAAGTTTACATTACAAAATATTATTTCATCTAAGATATCTTAAGATTTGTATAAAAGTCAAATTAATAAAAAATGTTCTTTAGCTACATGGGTTTTTTTTACATTGCAAAATAAATGTGCATTAAAATTTTGTAGCAGCATTTTGAATGATAAGGTTATACAGTGTTGTCACAAAAGTAAAAATTGGGTAGAAGTTCATAAAGAATAGAGGAGCAGAGTAATAAGAATGAAGCTAGTTTGGATGAATGAGAATAATTATAAAATGCCTAAAGATGCAATACCGCTTATTTCCCTTTGTACAAGCTGGACATTGTTTCAGTGTACGGTGATTAAATGTACTGTCACTTAAATAGTTTTTGCAATATTTTGTAGGAAATCTCACAAGATAAATATATTTACCTATTCTATTTAGTTGATATATTACTAAATTTGTACTACTGCATTTGTCATTACTGCAAACAGATATTAGGCATTTACCAACCACCTTCCAGGCATTAGACCTGGCAGCACAAGCCACACAAGCGCAGGAGTTCAAAGATTGGTGGTGGAAAGTGCAGCTTGGACGATGTTACTACAGACTTGGATTGTTTAGGGATGCTGAAAAGCAGTTCAAGGTAAGGGCATAAATATTACAGATCCTCAATCCAAAAAATTATCAGAGTAATATTGCTTGTCATTTTTTACACAGTATTTTACCATCATTTACTTCTTGTTCCCTTTAGAAAATACATATGAGTGGGTTGCTATGAAAAACCATCACAAGTACCCTGACAAAACTATAACAATGGTAGATGCAGGAAACGTACTACTGTACATCATTATTATTACAGTATTTATTATTACAGCCTCTCCTCACTTAATTAACGACAGAGTTCCGTTCCTAAGACCACGTTGTTAAACAAATTCGTCGCTAAGTGAGGAGCATACTATAATGGTACTGTAGTGGGTTTGTGTCAGCCATCTTTGATATTGTTTTAATGTCACCTTTGCACCATTTATAACATTTCTAGTATATTTTTAAATGTTTATACATTATTATTATAATCAAAAAGAAGCGCTAAGCCACAAGGACTATACAGCAAATGTTTATACAGTAGTGTACTGTATATTGAAATAAACAGAATAGAGGAAATCAGCTCTAATATACAGTGGAACCTCAAAAATCGAACTGCTCCCAACACAACCAATTATGTAAGTGTATTTTTGTAAGTGCTTTTATAAGTGTATTTTTAAGGGTCTGAAATGGACTAATCTAATTTACATTATTCCTGATGGGAATAAATTCATTCGGTAAAGGCACTCGAACAGACTTCTGGACCGAAGAAAGTTCAATTTTTGAGGTTCCACTGTACATTATTTAGGTATGAATACTGGTCAGAGAGCCTGTCATAAATCTGAGGCATTGGGAAACGAGTATGTCGATAAGTGAGGAGAGACTGTATTGTTATTATATGGGGATTATTATTATAATCCAGGGGGAAGTGCTAAACCTGTAGGATTATACAGTGCCTGGGGAGGAGGGTTGTGGAAGGTATTCAGGGTTAATTCAGGGAACTGGAGCACAGATCCAATTCCCTAGATCATGAGCCCCTCACCAGTGTCAAGGAACCTTCCTTGAGGGGATTCTATGGGGAGACTCACTAAACCATGTAGGGTTCATACAGCACCTAGGGAAAGGGAGGCTGTCAGGTTTGATACAAGAAAGAGAAGAAAAAGTCAAATTCCTTGAATAAAAAGCACTTCCCCATCACTAAGGAACCTCCTTTGAACAGACACACCCTTCTTGACCTTTTCTCAGATCATGTTTTCAAAAGCTTCAAAGTTCTCTAAAATTCTCAAAGTTTACAGTGAAAAGTTTCATGTACAGTCAGTAACTCTAAAGACAAATAACCTGGACATTTTTTCAATCTGACTTGACCCATTAACTATTCCTCCATCTTGTTACACTACTCCCATCCTCACCCTTCTCTTGTATATATCCGGTCCAAGTCGGACCGAAATGTCATCACAAGTTTCAGTCTCTTATTTGTGGGTTATTTGCATATTTTTCCAGTCAGGGTATTGTGCCTTTTCATTCTTTAAATCTAAAAAATATTAATATAAATAATTTTCTGTGAAAGAGATTACATAATGAATGAGGTATTCAAACACACTTGTCTTTCTAAACCAATACACTGTACACTTTGCTTTGTCATCAGATTCATCCAGTATGAAAATTCCTCAAAATACATAAAACATCCCTCTTCCCATCTCAGTCACCAGCGCCCTCTTAAACTCATTTTCCCATGTCATTCATTGACACCAGGAATCCTTCACATTACACTATGAAAAAACACTTTTATTTTATTCTTAAACTTTCTCCTTTATTCATTTTATAGGTTTTCTTAATTACAGTATAAACATCATAACTTTTCTGGAAAAATAAAAGTAAAAGATATTGTGTAAAGATTAAATGTATTAGTTAGGTTTAAGCATGAGGATAAGCTCATAAAATTCTTAGTAATACTGTAAGTATACTCATTGTAAAAAAAAAAAAAATCATTAATTTTTGGTGTGTTATTTCCTTTAAGATTAACTTTATATGTACTATAATTTGGAAGAGTATATTAATAGGGAAATACTGCAATTGACTTACGAATTGAAGATGTTTTGGCAGATCACAGGGTGAAAATGAAAAGTACATAGTACTTATCATCAGTTGAAGAATATAGCAGTTAACTGTTTGCTGTCACAGTGTTAATAGACAGAGTAATGCACAGCTTATCTTCATGCGACACCCATAGCAGGCAAATAATTATTATTATTATTATTATTATTATTATAGTCTCAAAAAAAGGCAGTAAACCCATATGGGTCATTCAGCTTTGCCACAAAAGATGATGATCACAAAAAAACTCTGGTAATTCAAGATTTCTTGAAAGGTGAAACTGTGAATTGATGACTACCCAGTTTACATTGTGCTGTTAACAAGCGATCAGAGCATTGTAAGGGTCAGTACTTTAATCATATTTTACAGTCAGCACTGAAGCAACAAGATCACATCAATACTTATCTCCTCCTGGGCCGTGTTTACATTCGTTTAGATCAACCAATCGGTGCCCTAGAGGTGTACAAGGAGGGACTTGACAAATACCCTGGAGAAGTTACTTTGCTTACTGCAATAGCAAGGTATGTGGGATTAAAAACCAAAGAACACTTACGACATTTTACATTTCCAGGTAGTTTTGGTACACACAAGAAATATAAAAGAAATAATGCACGTCAGATTTAACGGGAGCACTAACATGATATAAACCCCAAGGTAATATGGCAAAAGAGAATAACAGATTCTTGTATAATTAGTTGAGTAATATAAATATGAAGAAATATATACAGTACAGGTTTCCCCTCACTTTTATTCACTAACCCTATTTCTAGTTTTAATTTGTTGTATATGATATAAATTTGCATGCATGTATTTTGAACATATTCTGAATGAAATCCTATGGTTGGTTTTCAGTTAAGAGTTGTGCCAAGACAAAAAAATAAAATACAGGTCCACATCCCTTTATTCGAAACCCTTGGGGCCAGTATAGTTTCAAATTTCAGAATTTTTTGAAGTTCAGAATGATTCTCAACGCCACCACGTGGCGGCGTGACCCAGCACCGAGAAGACCGACACTCCACATTCCACGAAAAACCTTAAGTTTTCAGAACTTTTCCAATTTCAGAATTTCGGATAAAGGGTTGAGGACCTGTAAAAGAGAGGTAGACAAAATATGCTTCAACCTAGACATCATTTCAAGTATGTACAGTACATTTGTGTTTGTTTAATAGGATTTATGAGGGTCTTCATGATCTGACAAAAGCAGTGAAGTTTTACAAGGATATCTTGCATCATGATGCAACCCACGTTGAAGCAATAGCATGTATTGGCACCCATCACTTCTACACTGACCAGCCAGAGGTGGCTCTACGCTTTTACAGGTAGTCTAATCAGAATGCAGCCTCTCCTCACTTAGCAACGTACTCGTTGAACTTACGACGGGCTCTCTGACCAGTATGCACATCTAAATAATGTATATTAGAGCTGATTTCCTCTATTCTTTTTATTACAACATACAGTACACCCTGCCTTGGTGGGAGATGGCCAATGTGTTGAAAAACAAAAATACAGTACACCACTGTATAAACATTTAAAAATATACTAAGAATGTTATACAATGGACCCTCGGTTATCGGCCGTTCCTGTTATCGACCAATTCAGTGATTGGCTGTTTTTTTTTGCTCTGGTGATCAGCTGTTATTTCAGTGATCAGCCATTTCGGATGCGTCCATCCGCCGGCTGGGGCCGCTTGCACATCAGTTTGACTGTGTGTCTCGGTGCATGAGGAAGCTTCTGCTCATACATCCAAACATTTCGCTTGTTTTCCATTGTTTTTTTGTGTTTTTTTTTGCAGAGCAACTGCGAAATAACTTACCATGGCTCCAAAGAAAGTTTCTAGTAAAGTTCCTGTGGTAAAGAAAGTGAGAAACACCATGGAATTTTGGTGGCTGAAGCTCCCGCTTCACGCACGGAGGGCCGGCGGGTGGAAACATTTCGACACGTTTCCTTACACCTGTTGTCCTATTCACCTAGCAGCAAATAGGTACCTGGGTGTAAATTGACTGGTGTGGGTCACATCCTGGGGGACAAGATTGAGGACCCCAACAGAAATAAGTTAGACAGTCCTCGATGATGCACTGACTTTCTTTAATCCTAGGTGGCTAACCCTCCAGGGTTAAAAATCTGAACGAAATCTTATTTTATCTTATCTTAATTTAAGCGTGAAGTGTAGCAGGCATGCAGGGAGTGTAGCAGTCACACAGGAAATGTAGCAGGCATGCAGGGAGTGTAGCAGGTATGCAGGAAGTGTAGCAGGTATGCAGTGTGTGTAACAGGCATGCAAGAAGTGTAGCAGGCATGCAGGGAGTGTAACAGGCATGCAGGGAGTGTAGCAGGCATGCAGGGAGTGTAGCAGGCATGCAGGGAGTGTAGTAGGCATGCAAGGAGTGTACAGGCATCCCAGAAGCCAGCATTAGTCTTCAATAAAGGTATGTAATACTGATTTAACTGTTAAATTTTTTTTTTTGTGAATATTTTTGTCTGGAACGGATTAATTGTATTTACATTAATTCTTATGGGAAATATTATTTCGGTTTTTGGCCATTTTGATTTTAGGCCAAGCTTCTGGAACGGATTATGGCTGATAACTGAGGGTCCACTGTACATATAAATGGTGCAGAAGTGATACTAAAGCAATATCAAAGATGGTTGACACAAACCCACTACCATTATAGTATGCTCCTCGTTTAGCGACAAATTCGTTTACCAACACGGTCTTAGGAACAGAACTCCGTCGTTAAGTGAAGAGAGGCTGTACTTCTAAAATTGTTGAAGAATAACTTACCATCCTTATGTTTACGAATTGTTGCTTGTAAAAGTAGATACTGCAGCTTAGTATAGTTAAGATAATTTGGTAGTTTGACAAAGAAAATTGTCTTTAAGGTAAATAAATGTAATTTGGTAGTAGGAAATAGTATTTTAGGAAATAAATTGGTCGTTAGGACTGAATGTAAACCTCTAAGACCTACCATGGATAGTAGCAAAAAGTTTAATTGATAAATTATACACAATAAGTTAAGAATTAGCATTTTTTTCACTGATGGAAAGCACTTTACAGCTTCTCTTAAGCTGTGAAGACCTGCCAGCATCACTACTTTTGCACTTTGGGGCCATTATTAAACAAAATTAAGGGTTATTTTCAGGCCATGGTAAACCACGGAAACTGAATACACAAATACAGGAATTCTACTGTATTCAAAATTATTATTATTCTTGGAAAGTGCTCATCTAATATATTCACAAAAAATACTAACCCTATAGAGAGCTATGTAGCACAGGTGTTGTAATGCTGTACATATTCAAGTTTATATTTTTATTGTATTTTTAAAACTCCTCCCAAGGGCTTTTAATGTTATACTGTAATGCAAATACTCATTATTCTAAAAGAAATTCAAGAAGCAAAAATTTTCTTTCAGACGCTTACTGCAGATGGGCATTTACAACTGTGAGATATTCAACAACTTGGGTTTGTGTTGTTTTTATGCCCAGCAATATGATATGACGCTCACTTGTTTTGAAAGAGCACTCAGCCTCGCAACAGATCACAGCGTAGCTGATGTATGGTACAACTTAGGGCATATAGCCTTGGTAAGTAGCCATATATTGTACTATAATGTAATGAAAGTCTAAAAGATATATCCAGAATAAAAGCTGTGTGTGTTTTATAATATAATCAAATTAGACAGTAAACCAGAAGGGGTCATACAGCCATGTGTGTTTTATAAAGAGGCCTACTTTTAATTAATATTCTCCTATACAGGGTATTGGAGATATAAACCTGGCTTACCAGTGCTATCGTTTGGCTCTTGTTGCTAACAATGATCATGGGGAGTCTTACAACAACTTAGGAGTGCTGGAGTATCGCCGAGGAAACCTAGATACAGCTCGTGCCTTCTTCATGACAGCAGCCAGTTTAGCCCCACACATGTTCCAGCCACATTTTAACCATGCTAAACTTGCTCATAAGGTGAGGCATTATGAGAATTAACCCTTTCAGGGTTTCGGCCGTACTAGTACGGCTTACGACCCAGGGTTTTTGACGTATTAGTACTCCTAAATTCTGGCGCCCTCAAATCTAGTGAGAGAAAGCTAGTAGGCCTACATATGAAAGAATGGGTCTATGTGGGCAGTGTGCGTGGTATAAAAAAATCCTGCAGCACACAGTGCGTAATGAGAAAAAAAAAAACTTTGACCGTGTTTTTGGATTAAAACAGCGACTTTGCACTGTATTTTCGTATGGTATTTATTGTTGTATTCTAGTTTTCCTGGTCTCATTTTATAGAATGGAAAACATATTGCAGAAATTGAGATGATTTTGACTGGTTTTACAAAGAAAACTACCTTGAAATTACGCTCAAATTAGCAGAAATGTTCAATTTTTGCCAAAGTTCAAAAGTAAACAAATCATGCTATGCGTCCAATACACGTCAACTGGCGAGTCTAATATTCTTTCACAAGTGCGCTGATAATATTTATACCATTTCTACACCAATGCAGTAGTCTGCATAACAGTAAATCTATTTTTTGCGAGAATAAAAATTCAAAGTGGAAAGCAAAAGAATGTAAGAGGGGCATGGGGACATGACTAATGAACAGAGGAAATGTTATTTTAGTGCCAGGAATGTCCTTCTTGTTTATTCTGGACCCTATTCGGAAATTGGCATCTTTTGAAATTTGTGTGAAATTGGCAAAATTGCTAAATTTTGACCACTGTATTGGATGACTCAAGAAATCGTAATGACACGATTGCAAATAAACCATACCCCCGGCCGGGATTGAACCCGCGGTCATAGAGTCTCAAAACTCCAGCCCGTCGCGTTAGCCACTAGACCAGCTAGCCACAATAAGATTCATCCAACTAGGTATATTTCTACACCATAGGAAAGTTAGCACAGGCACCTCTGTGACCACAAATGCAAGTTTTTACAGACGAATCTCCAGCTAGCGTGGCCGTGACGAGATTCGTCTGTAAAAACTTGCATTTGTGGTCACAGAGGTGCCTGTGCTAACTTTCCTATGGTGTAGAAATATACCTAGTTGGATGAATCTTATTGTGGCTAGCTGGTCTAGTGGCTAACGCGACAGGCTGGAGTTTTGAGACTCTATGACCGCGGGTTCAATCCCGGCCGGGGGTATGGTTTATTTGCAATCGTGTCATTACGATTTCTTGAGTCATGTTGACGGCAGTGAAGGGACTTGAGCCAGAGTTCGTCACGGCCACGCTAGCTGGAGATTCGTCTGTAAAAACTTGCATTTGTGGTCACAGAGGTGCCTGTGCTAACTTTCCTATGGTGTAGAAATATACCTAGTTGGATGAATCTTATTGTGGCTAGCTGGTCTAGTGGCTAACGCGACGGGCTGGAGTTTTGAGACTCTATGACCGCGGGTTCAATCCCGGCCGGGGGTATGGTTCACTCTATTGGATAGTTGAAATCAGTAAATGGGTGGTTTCTTGTACTCATTCGATAGAAAAAATGGAGTTCTAACGAAATAGTTATGATTTTTGTCAACAAGCACACTGGAATTGGCCAAAAATAGGGCTCAAAGTGGGCAAAGTCGCCGATGTGTAAACATCGTCGAGACTGCTAACTTCGTGAGAGCATAATTCCATAAGTTTTCCATCAAATTTCATACTTTTGATGTCATTATGATCGGGAAAAGATTCTCTATCTTTTCAAGTCTCTGAGAGGGCCTGTCAACCCTGAAAGGGTTAAGTGACTTATTTTTGTTATACTTATGAGGAAGCACTAAGCCCATAGGGGTCATAGAGCACCTGGGAAATGAAGGACAATTAGGTTTGATCCAAAGGGAACAATGGCTCCAATTTCTTGGATCAAAAGTTTTTCACCAGCATCAAGGCACCTCTCATAAAAGTTCAGAAATATCTTAAATGTCAATAGATACCTGGGTTTAATTGCAAGCCACATTCTTGAATAATATATAACAGGTATGGCCAAGCTTTAAAATGAGCAGTGGTTAGAGAGCAGCTATTAGCATGTAAAACAGTCACAAAAATATTAATTTATAGACAGTAGTTAATCCCATACAGCACCTGGGATTAGGGAGTTAATGATGTTTGATTCATGGAAGAGATAAGTTCTAATGATCACTTTGGTAGCATCACTGCAACCCCCTCTCTCTACTTGAAGCAAATAAATTCATAGTATAAGAGGTTAAATTTAAGAATACACAAATAGATAATAACTGTCCAGTCTATATTATTATTAGATTAACTCAGTATTTTGATTGTTTAGCAGTGTCAAGTTTCACTAATTATTTGACTGTAGAAATTTACCTGCATCGAATGTCATTCAGAAATTTTATTTTGACGAATGTATTATGATAACTGCAGCACTATAATTCATTGCTACAGTATTCAATTATTTTAACATTTTTGAACTTGAATTTTTAATTTCAGGTTGGAGACCTGCAGACAAGCTACATTATAGTTCAAAAGGCGCTCGCACTTTTTCCTGGACATGTTGACTCTAAGGAACTCCTGAAGACTCTAGAAACACACTTTCATACTTTGTAATAAGCAATTATGGCATCTATTCATATTCTCAGTGGCATGAAAGCTGCTTAAATATTAAAGATTTCATCTGTTATCTTATCCTCATTAAAATAAAAGAATGAGAGTCCCCTACAATTACAGCAGTTGAAAATAAAAGTGACAAGTTCTATAAATTTATGTTAATTTTATTAATACTGCACTCAAGTTTTTTTTTTTTTTATTATCACACTGGCCGATTCCCACCAAGGCAGGGTGGCCCGAAAAAGAAAAACTTTCACCATCATTCACTCCATCACTGTCTTGCCAGAAGGGTGCTTTACACTACAGTTTTTAAACTGCAACATTAACACCCCTCCTTCAGAGTGCAGGCACTGTACTTTCCATCTCCAGGACTCAAGTCCGGCCTGCCGGTTTCCCTGAACCCCTTCATAAATGTTACTTTGCTCACACTCCAACAGCACGTCAAGTATTAAAAACCATTTGTCTCCATTCACTCCTATCAAACACGCTCATGCATGCCTGCTGGAAGTCCAAGCCCCTCGCACACAAAACCTCCTTTACCTCCTCTCTCCAACCTTTCCTAGGCCGACCCCTACCCCGCCTTCCTTCCACTACAGACTGATACACTCTTGAAGTCATTCTGTTTCGCTCCATTCTCTCTACATGTCCGAACCACCTCAACAACCCTTCCTCAGCCCTCTGGACAACAGTTTTGGTAATCCCACACCTTCTCCTAATTTCCACACTCCGAATTTTCTGCATAATATTTACACCACACATTGCCCTTAAACAGGACATCTCCGCTGCCTCCAACCGTCTCCTCCTGCGCATTTACCACCCAAGCTTCACACCCATATAAGAGGTTGGTAACTACTATACTTCATACATTCCCTTCTTTGCCTCCAAGAAACGTTCTTTTGACTCCACAATACCTCCAAGGCCACACTCACCTTTTTCCCTCATCAATTCTATGATTAACCTCATCCTTCATAATCCATCCGCCGACACGTCACTCCCAATATCTAAAACATTCACTTCTCCATACTCCTCCTCCCCCAATTTGATATCCAATTTTCTTACTAATCATTTACATACCCTCATCACCTTACTCTTTCTATGTTCACTTTCAACTTTTCTCTTTACACACATTCCCAAACTCATCCACTAACCTTTGCAATTTTTCTTTAGAATCTCCCATAAGCACAGTATCATCACAAAAAGTAACTGTGTCAATTCCCATTTTGAATTTGATTCCCCATAATTTAATCCCACCCCTCTCCCAAACACCCTAGCATTTACTTCCTTTACAACCCATCTATAAATATATTAAACAACCATGGTGACATTACACATCCCTGTCTAAGACCTACTTTTACCGGGAAGTAGTCTCCCTCTCTTCTACACACCCTAACCTGAGCCTCACTATCCTCATAAAAACTCTTTACAGCATTTAATAACTTACCACCTATTCCATATACTTGCAACATCTGCCACATGCTCCTCTATCCACTCTATCATATGCCTTTCTAAATCCATAAATGCAATAAAAACTTCCCTATCTTTATCTAAATACTGTTCACATATATGCTTCAATGTAAACACCTGATCTACACATCCCCTACCCACTCTAAAACCTCCTTGCTCATCCGCAATCCTACATTCTGTCTTACCTCAATTCTTTCAATTATAACCCTAACCGTACACTTTTCCTGGTATACTCAGTAAGCTTATTCCTCTATAATTTTTACAGTCTCTTTTGTCCCCTTTCCCTTTATATAAAGGGACTATACATGCTCTCTGCCAATCCCTAGGTACCTTCCCCTCTTTCATACATTTATTAAACAAAAGTACCAACCACTCCAACACTATATCCCCCCCTGCTTTAACATTTCTGTCATGATCCCATCAGTTCCAGCTGCTTTAACCCCCTTTCATTTTACGTAATGCCTCACGTACCTCCCCCACACTTACATTCTGCTCTCTTCTTCACTCCTAAAAGATGGTATACCTCCCTGACCAGTGCATGAAATTACTGCCTCTGTTTCTTCCTTAACATTTAAAAGTTCCTCAAAATATTCTCGCCATCTACCCAATACCTCCATCTCCCCATCTACTAACTCCCCTACTCTGTTTTTAACTGACAAATCCATATTTTCCTAGGCTTTCTTAACTTGTTTAACACTCACTCCAAAATTTTTTCTTATTTTCATTAAAATTTCTTGACAGTGCCTCTCCCACTCTATCATCTGCTCTCCTTTTGCACTCTCTCACCACTCTCTTTACCTTTCTTTTACTCTCCATATACTCTGCTCTTCTTATAACACTTCTGCTTTGTAAAAACCTCTCATAAGCTAACCTTTTTCTCTTTTATCACACCCTTTACTTCATCATTCCACCAATCACTCCTCTTTCCTCCTGCCCCCAACCCTCCTATAACCACAAAACTTCTGCCCCACATTCTAATACTGCATTTTAAAACTATTCCAACCCTCTTCAACCCCCCCACTACTCATCTTTGCACTAGCCCACCTTTCTGCCAATAGTCGCTTATATCTCACCCGAACTTCCTCCTCCCTTAGTTTATACACTTTCACTTCCCTCTTACTTGTTGTTGCCACCTTCCTCTTTTCCCATCTACCTCTTACTCTAACTGTAGCTACAACTAAATAATGATCCGATATATCAGTTGCCCCTCTATAAACATGTACATCCTGGAGCCTACCCATCAACCTTTTATCCACCAATACATAATCTAATAAACTACTTTCATTACGTGCTACATCATACCTGTATATTTATTTATCCTCTTTTCATAAAATATGTATTACTTATTACCAATTTCTTTCTACACATAGCTCAATTAAAGGCTCCCCATTTACATTTACCCCTGCACCCCAAATTTACCTACTACTCCCTCCATAACATTTTTACCCCACTTTAGCATTAAAATCCCCAACCACCATTACTCTCACACTGATTCAAAACTCCCCACGCATTCACTCAACATTTCCCAAAATCTCTCTCTCTCCTCTACACTTCTCTCTTCTCCAGGTGCATACACGCTTATTATAACCCACTTTTCACATCCATCTTTATTTTACTCCACATAATCCTTGAATTAATACATTTATAGTCCCTCTTTTCCTGCCATAGCTTATCCTTCAACATTATTGCTACTCCTTCTTTAGCTCTAACTCTATTTGAAACCCCTGACCTAATCCCATTTATTCCTCTCCACTGAAACTCTCCCACCCCCTTCAGCTTTGTTTCACTTAAAGCCAGGACATCCAGCTTCTTCTCATTCATAACATCCACAATCATCTCTTTCTTATCATCTGCACAACATCCACGCACATTCAGACTTCCCACTTTAAACAACCACGGTGACATCACACATCCTTGTCTAAGGCCTACTTTTACAAGTGTCCTAGTGTAATGATCTGTCTACCAATGTGTTCCTTATTTTTCTTTCAAAGCAGGTTACTGATCACTAAGTTTTTATCAACAAAAACAGATGCAGACTACTGGTACTTGCAATCAGAAAAATGGGTTAGATTAAGTAAGGCTGAAGATACAGTACAATACTGTACCAGGAAAATTAAATAAACAAGGGTGACAGAATTTTGTGAAGTAAAACCATTATTTCCCTATCAAACATTTTATTAGGTGAAGCTCAGATACAAATTAAAGTGACATATCAGTCCTTCAAAGACGTAATAAAGCCGTGAAATTTTATTTATTAAGAAAAGGCTCATTATTTGACAATTTCAAGTCAGAGGCTTGTTTCTTAAATGAGTGTGATAAAAAAAAAAAAAGCTTACTAGTCCCTCTCTGCAATGGCACTAAGATGGAAGTCAATTTCTTGTTCTGTCAAAGTCCTGTAAAAAAAAAAAAAAAAAAAAAAAAAAGTATACCATGAACACACTTATTCTTATAAATACTGTATAATACTTTAAATGAAAAATATAACAAATATATGAGGAATAATTTCATTAGAAATAAAATTAAATATGAATACCTGTATAAACTTGAACATAAAATTTTATTGTAGTAATAGATGAATATGTGACTATTCAAACAATAACATTATATATGCCTTCATGGGAGAGAAAGCACTAAAGCTTACCATCAATTGTTAATTTTAAAAGAATATGTACTATTTCCATATGTACTATTTTAAAATTGTTAATTGTTTAACTATGAAAAAATTATTTGCCATAAATCCTCACCTAAACTTGGGTTCATCCTTAGATACAACTCCTACTTCAATCTCTGAAGGTTTAAAGTCTGCCGAGAGGACTGTCATAAGGCAAGTGATAGCCAGTTGTATGGTTTCATCGTGGTTGTAATTTGTCTTCTTCCGGTATCTGTAGGAAATGGATTTGAAGATATTTATTTTGTTATCTAAGCAGTATAAATATAATAGGCAGAGAAAATATAATTAGGGCCCTATTTTAAAAGAACACATTCATCAACTGCTTTCTATATTGACAGATACAGTGAGAGATGATGAAAGTGTTTCTTATTTTTCAGATCACCCTGCCTCAGTGAGAAACAGTCAGTGTGTTATATAGATAGTATATATCTAACTAATAAACTAAAGACTCAAAGCACTTTCAAGAGAGAATTAAAGTGTATTCTTTTCTAATAAAAGTACACATCAAGTAAACCATGAATTTGATACAATAAAGAACTGCACTTCATGTGAAGCACTAAACTCTCTTAAAAGGAAAAATTACTGCTAAGACCAAGCAAAATAAATCTATAAAGCTTACTTTTTCTCCAAGAAACTGTTTGCTTCAGTCTGTTTGACACCAGCTGAGCATGCACGATTACCACAGTAATATCCTGCTGGATCAGTCTTGTACACACACGGACCAAGCTCATCATCATACCCAATCAAGATCATACCTGAAATTCACTAGTATAATTAAATTGACACATACATGGTGTACAATAATAAACTGTTCTAGAAATCATAGGTTCCTAAACTTTAGAGGTAAACTTGCAATAGCCGAGTACATGTGCTTTTTCATACTGTATGTTACCTCACTGTCAATGATGTCCTAGGTAATGTACACATTACTATGTATGATAACTGTAATCACCTAAATTTGTGTAACTGTACTTATGTGTATCTGTACTTAAATAAACTTACTTAGTGAGTTTTCTACACATTTTGGCTCAATACATACATTCTTTTTTCCTTACCAACTTTCTCACTCATTAACTCTGTATAGTGACTTTTTTTTTTTTTCACAATTTAGTCATCTCTACAACTTAATTTGATTCCTCTCGGTATGGTATCAAAGCATACAAATGTAAAAATTACATAAGTAGACTTATCACTGCATTCTTAAAATTTTATATAACTATGAAATAATAATGTTTAATTTTACTACTGAGGCTACTTTTAAACAACCATGGGTCAGCAGCACAGATTGACCTGGCAAAGAACCTGGAGCTGAGGTGATGACTTGAAACAGTCAGAGCACTTAGCCAGAGCACATCACTAGTGGTAAATAAAAAACAAATCAGATCAGAACACAAGAGTACAATATTAACAAGTTATAACTTACTGCATCCCAAGGGGCGCATTTCAGCATTCTGTGTGTACACTTGGTTGATGTCTGCTATGCGCCGACACAAAACATTAATGGGCATATCATATCCATACCGGTATTTAAAGTTATTGGCTTCACTTTGAGCAACCATTACCTGGTACCTGCTGTCAGCTGAAAAAAAAAAAATCACTTCAACATGGTCCATTTTTATCTTTGACAATACTAAATGACTTAGCAGCAACAAGTAAAACCATATAGTTTTCAGTCTCTCTCCCAATGTAAACAAATTACAAATAAATAAAATTTCATGTATATTATTTCAAAAAACAAAAAACTGACGAGTTTTAAAGGGATATATTAACAGCCAAGAACTTTCGAGTACAATATTAAAGACTCACACTGCATGCCAGTCATTACGCAGCCAACATTCTGGGTGAGCTGGTGCATATGTGTAACTGTGCTTGGATCCAGCAATTTGTCCTAAGGAAAGGGGAAAATTTTTTTTTTTTTTTTTTGCATATTTTTTATAATGCTCCCAAGTACGTATAAGAGGGAGCTATTAGGTTGGCCCTGAGGTAAGGAACAGTTTGTAAGGCTACTTACAAGGTAATCAAGTAGCTCTCAGTGTATAAGTTATGTTAGGGTATATCAACCTTATTACCTTAGAAAAATGTATATTTAACCACAAATAAGGAAGCTGAAAACAAACAAAAATGACATATCTGGCAACATTTTTCAATGTCTGTTAATGTGTTGGGAATTAGGGCCAGTCAAATATTTTTGGCCTTATATAAACTGTTATTGACACACATTTTCAGCCTTATATAAACTGTTATTGACACAATGCTGTATTTTACTCCTATGACAATTATTTATTCAAGTACAGTACTAGGTACTCAATATATTCAAGGTTGAAAGTATCAACTTTGAGTACTTACAGGGACTTTCCTTTGTGTAACGCATACTGCTGTGTCTTCGCCCTTGCAAGACACCGACGTTAATCCTCCCTGGTTGATTGCCTTAAATGCATACTCTGAAAGTAATGTGCATTTCATAAATCAACATATTTTTAATCCACAAGTAGAATCAAACCTCTAAGAAAAAGTATTTTGGCATATTTTAGTTAGTGATATAATCTTGAATGTTATCTGCTCTGAAATGTAATTGTATAAACAAGAAGTTATACAGTTATTTCACATTCATCAACAACTGATACCTGTACCAGATAAATATAAATTGATCTATTATAGTATGGTAAGGTATAATTTCTTGCAAAAATATCATTAGATATTTATTTAACCCTTTCAGGGTCCCCAGGTCCTCTCCCAGACATGTTCTCAGGGTCACCCAAATTTTAAAAAAAAAAAAATATTTTTTCTTATAGAGAATCTTTTCCCGATCATAATAACACCAAAAGTATAAAATTTGATGGAAAACTTACGGAATTATGCTCTCGTGAAGTTAGCGCTCTCGACGATGTTTACACATCTGCGATTTTGCCCACTTTGAGCCCTATTTTTGGCCAATTCCAGTGTACTAGTCGACAAAAATCATAACTATTTCGCTAGAACTCCATTTTTTCTATCGAATGAGTACAAGAAACCACCCATTTACCGATTTCAACTATCCAATAAAGTGGTCAGAATTTAGCAATTTTGCCAATTTCACACAAATTTCAAAAGATGCCAATTTCCAAACAGGGTCCAGAATAAACAAGAAAGACATTCCTAGCACTAAAATAACATTTCCTCTGTTCATTAGTCACGTCCCCATGCCCCTCTTACATTCTTTTGCTTTCCACTTTGAATTTTTATTCTCACAAAAAATAGAAGATTTACTGTTATGCAGCCTACTGCATTGGTGTAGAAATGGTATAAATAATATTGGCTCACTTGTGAAAGAATATTAGACTCGCCAGTTGACGTGTATTGGACGCTTAGCATGATTTGTTTACTTTTGAACTTTGGTAAAAATCGAACATTTCTGCTACTTTGAGCTCAATTTCAAGGTACAGTACTTTTCATTGTAAAACCAGTCAAAATCATCTCAATTTCTGTAATATGTCTTCCATTCTATAAAATAAGACCAGGAAAGCTAGAATACAACAATAAATACCATACGAAAATACAGTGCAAAGTCGCTGTTTTAACCCTTTCAGGGTCCGTCCCGTAGATCTACAGCTTTATGTTCAGGGTCCAAACCATAGATCTACGTCATGAGCTCAGCTCACTCTGATAAACTGTGAGTGGTACATTTGGGCCTAGATATGAGAGAATACATCTATGTGGTATGTGTGCACCACATAAAACTGATCCTGCAGCACACTGTGTATAATGAGAGAAAAAAAACTGAAATCATGATTTTTCGATTAAAACAGCGACTTTGCAGTGTTTTTTCGTATGTTTTTTATTGTTGTATTTGCGATTTCTTGGTCTCATTTGATAGAATGGAAGACATATTACAGAAATAGAGATGATTTTGATTGGTTTTAGCACTGGAAATGGCTTGAAACTGAGCTCAAAGTAGCAGAAATGTTAAATTTTTGCCGATATTCAAGAGTAAACAAACGACCTCACATGTCTAATACACGCCAACTGGTGGGTCTAATATGTATTCACAAATATGGTGGCAATATTTATACAATTATTACAGTATTGCATAACAGTAAATCTTCAATTTTTTGGTGTGAATAAAAATTCATTATGTGAATAAAAAATCAAAATGGAATTTATTTGTAAAGCCTCAAAACGTAACTAATGAACAGAGGAAATGTTAGTTTAGTTCCAGGAATACCTACATTGTTTATTCTGGACCCTATTTTGAAATTGGAATATTCTGAACTTTGTGTTAAATTGGCCAAATTAACAATTTCCGATCACTTTAATTTGTAGTTGACACAGTTACATGGCAATTTCTTGTGCTCAGTCGATAGAATAGAAGTAATACTAGTGAAATAGCTAAGAATTTGGTTGACTGGAATAATGTAATTGGCCTAAAATTGGAGTCAAAGTCGGCAAAATCGCCGATTCGTAAATATCGCTGACACATCAAAATTCGCAAGAGCATAATTTCGTCAATTTTCCATCAAATTTCTTACTTTTTGTTTTATTACCTTCACAAAAAGATTCTCTACCATTTCATAAGAAAAAATAACAAATTTTTTTTTTTGAAAATTCTTGGACACTGGGGCACCACTTCAGATTTGGGCCTTGGACCCTGAAGGGGTTAATCCAAAAACACGGTCAAAGTTTTTCTTTTCTCATTATGCACTGTGTGCTGCAGGATTTTTTTATACTGCGCATACTGACCACAGACCCATTCTTTCAAATGTAGGCCTATCAGCTTTCTCTCACTAGATTTGAGGGCGCTAGAATTTAGGCATACTAGTACGTCAAAAACCCTGGTGCGTAAGCCATACTAGTACGGCTGAAACCCTGAAAGGGTTAAATATTAATCAATAAAAATGTTTCATATAAATAATTTATGTACATATATCAAATTCCCCCTTATACAAACAGTATAACCACTATGAAAGCAAAAGACTTGGCAGACGATGTAACATCCCCCCCCAATGAAAAGCAGGGGTGTCACTAGCACGTTAAGAGACCATACAATAAGTGTCAGGGGCCCGAGACTGTTTAACTGCCTCCCAGCATACATAAGGGGGATTACCCCTGGTAATAGACCCCTGGCAGTCTTCAAGCTGGCACTGGACAAGCACCTAAAGTCGGTACCTGACCAGCCAGGCTGTGGCTTGTACGTTGGTTTGTGTGCAGCCAGCAGTAACAGCCTGGTTGATCAGGCTCTGATCCACCAGGCGGCCTGGTCACAGACCGGGCCGCGGGGGCACTGACCCCCGAACTCTCTCCAGGTAAACAGCAGACTAATGTTCTTAACTAAAGAGAACCTAACAATGCCTGTTTGTATGTTTATTTCAACTGAGGTCCTCAAGGTCTGTAGTACTGTATTTCATTGTATGCCTGTAATAATGAGCTTAATGCAGTCACTGTAGGAAGTTTAATGTTCAATTTTCAAAAAAGCTGCAAATTTAGCTTAACTAGAGCAGTATTACACACACTATAGTTAAAACAGATAAAATGACTTACACAAATAAAATATAAATTATGCAGTATATACCAGTATATAAAGGTTCATCTGGTAACTGTTCCAGGGACTACTGCACCCACAAGTCTCAGACCTAAATACAAATTTGGAGTGACCATTTCTATAAAAACCATGAAGGTGGCATCTCTTGCAATTTCTATGGTACTGGCAGGAGTAACCTTATTGATGCTGTATACGTAACAGAGCTGAATTCAACTATAAAGCATCCATGAACGAATCCAAGTGCTGTGCCTGTTTTCTGGACGAATAAAGTTAGGTCAGACAATTTGTAGCTCAATAGTAGTTTGTTCAGCTCAAAACTGAAAGTACTGATGATCAATCCCTGGGTATGTTAGAAAGTCAAGTATGCAAATACTGAAGGGGCTCCTGTTGGGAGAAACATATCCTAAATAGATGTATTAATACTCTCACACACACTTTTCTCACATACTTGTAGGTGTTAATCTTCAGTTTTGATAAATCCCTAGGCAGCAGGAATATATAAGCAAATTTCCTTATACCAGCTGCCCCTGTTCTTGAACAGTAAATATATATATGCAAGTTAGCTATTGTGGGTAACATCCTGTGAAAGAGAACAGAACAACAACAGAAGAAAGTTACATTGCTTGGCCTTCTTGGGCTCCTGGATCAAGTGGTAGTACCTTTGACCAGGGAATAAAGAACCAAAGTTTTTTAACCCAGGATGAGTGGCATGTTTCTTTACACTTGTTGCCCATTTATCTGGCAGCTGATTTGTGGGTAACATTCTGTGGAAGATGATCATGATACTCTAACAGAAATAAACCCCACTGATTAGTTTTTTTGGGGTTTTCTGGGGTTACTAACCCTTTGGGATACTCAGTGTGATGTATTTCCATTAGGGTTCTTCTGTTCTACCAAGGATGCTAACACTCGGGTACCTTACTACAAGGAGAATAGGTGGAAGAAGTGTTAGGGAATCAAATGCCCAACATTTTAACACTTTTAACTGTCTTAACTTTTAAGGTTTAAATAAAATATTACCAGGACCCCAATGGAAATAAATCTCTGACTTTTTGGGTTATCCTAGGTAATTTACACTATGTATGATAACTGTACATATGTATACCTGTGCCTAAATAAACTTACTCATCTCGGGATTGAACCCAGGTCCTTCAGGTGTGAGAAAGCACTACCGCTGAGGTACAAGGCCTCCATTATGAACCACAAGCTTCATCCAGGTTTAATTTACTCTTCTTAACCAATCATTTTTTAAATTTCTACAGTAATTACAGTAATTTCTACAGTAGGGGGTGAAATTCCCCGGGGAAGGGGGGCAAATTAATAACACTGAAATTAACTTCATTGAGATCACATAATATATGAGCAGAAATTTCCAATAAGAAACTAGAAACTTTAAGAATCGGGAAGAAGAAACTATTACGCCAGAAAAACTGAAGAAAAACTATTAAAACCAACATTCAGGAACACGAACCAACACCAACTTGGAAACTGGGGTTGAAGAACTTAACCAAGAACACCTTCAACCACTACAAAAAAAATAGACCCATTAAGGTCAAGGAACAATGAGATGTATAACACAGCAGTCACTTGTTAACTCACCAACTTGGTAAAGTCTTCCCTCGGGAGAAAATATAGTAATATGACGATCAAATCCGGCACTGGTACCCCGCGCCATCCTGATCAGTGACGGTCTACTGTTTACCTGCCGCTCTATTCCCTCGACTTGATTATTTATTTTTCTAACATTTCTTATATATCATTAGCAAATTATACACTATAAATAAAAATACAAAAAATGTTTATATTTAAATATATATAATTCTCGTTTCTTTGTTATTGTCATGTATATTATATGAAGTCAATGTTCTACAATAGAACAGAGCTGCGGGGCTAAATTATAATGAACATTTTTACTTAAGCCTCATATATAACTTGCAACTTTTACAATAGTTGTCTACAGTAATAAATTTAGAATTTAATTTAGGATAATTTAATAAAGTCAAACACTGTAATTTATTTCTACTATTTGCTATTAATAAAAAGCTATTGACAGGTCTTTTTTTTCTAAATCTATTGTATATTCGATTAAAATACAAGAAACAATAAAATAGCAGAAAAACATATAAATAACAAACCGTCTGTAGTGTATACATGTATAGGGAAATAAGTCACACTGACTTTATCAGTTATTATTGCATTATTGGCTTACAAAATCGACAAGATGAAAGAGACATAAGCAACTTATGGGTATTTTTAATTTGGGAACGTTTTGTCAACCAGTTTTCTTTATTAATCCATTATAGCAGACAACGGTGGAAGATGTGAAGAGGTCGATGTGGTCAGTCCCCTAGCCTCGACAGGTGGTCAGTCCCCTAGCCTCGACAGGTGATCAGTCCCCTAAGATAAGATTTCGTTCGGATTTTTAACCCCGGAGGGTTAGCCACCCAGGATAACCCAAGAAAGTCAGTGCGTCATCGAGGACTGTCTAACTTATTTCCATTGGGGTCCTTAATCTTGTCCCCCCAGGATGCGACCCACACCAGTCGACTAACACCCAGGTACCTATTTGCTGCTAGGTGAACAGGACAATAGGTGTAAGGAAACGTGTCGGAATTTCCACCCGCCGGGAATCGAACCCGGGCCCTCCGTGTGTGAAGCGGGAGCTTTAGCCACCAGACCACCGGGCCACCTAGCCTCGACAGGTGGTCAGTCCCCTAGCCTCGACAGGTGATCAGTCCCCTAGCCTCGACAGGTGGTCAGTCCCCTAGCCTCGACAGGTGATCAGTCCCCTAGCATCGACAGGTGGACAGTCCCTTAGCCTCGATAGGTGGATAGTCCCCTAGCCTCAACATGTGGTCAGTTCCCTAGCCTCGATAGGTGGACAGTCCCCTAGCCTCATCATGTGGTCAGTCCCCTAGCCTCGACAGGTGATCAGTCCCCTAGCCTCAACATGTGGACAGTCCCCTAGCCTCGACAGGTGGACAGTCCCCTAGTCTCAACATGTGGTCAGTCCCCTAGCCTCGATAGGTGGACAGTCCCCTAGCCTCGATAGGTGGACAGTCCCCTAGCCTCGACAGATGGACAGTCCCCTATTCTCGACAGGTGGTCAGTCCCCTAGCCTCGACAGGTGGACAGTCCCCTAGCCTCGACAGATGGACAGTCCCCTATTCTCGACAGGTGGTCAGTCCCCTAGCCTCGACAGGTGGACAGTCCCTAGCCTCGATAGGTGGACAGTCCCCTAGCCTCGATAGGTGGACAGTCCCCTAGCCTCGATAGGTGGCCAGCCCCTAGCCTCAACAAGTGGACAGTCCCCTAGCCTCGACAGATGGACAGTCCCCTAGTCTCGACAGGTGGTCAGTCCCCTAGCCTCGACAGGTGGACAGTCCCTAGCCTCGACATGTGGACAGTCCCTAGCCTCGACAGGTGGTCAGTCCCCTAGCCTCGACAGGTGGTCAGTCCCCTAGCCTCAACAAGTGGTCAGTCCCCTAGCCTTGACAGGTAAACAGACCCCTAGCCTTGACAGGCAGTCAGTCCCCTAGCCTTGACAGGTGGACAGACCCCTAGCCTTGACAGGTAGACAGACCCCTAGCTTTGACAGGTAATCAGTCCCCTAGCCTCGACAGGTGGACGGACCCCTAGCCTTGACAGGTAGTCAGTTCCCTAGCCTTGACAGGTGGACAGACCCCTAGCCTTGACAGGTAGTCAGTCCCCTAGCCTCGACAGGGGGACAGACCCCTAGCCTTGACAGGTGGTCAGTCCCCTAGCCTTGACAGGTGGACAGACCCCTAGCCTTGACAGGTACCCAGTTCCCTAGCCTCGACAGGTGGACAGACCACTAGCCTTGACAGGTGGTCAGTACCCTAGCCTTGACAGGTGGACAGACCCCTAGCCTTGACAGGCAGTCAGTCCCCTAGCCTCGGCAGGTGGACAGACACCTAGCCTTGACAGGTAGTCAGTCCCCTAGCCTTGACAGGTGGACAAACCCCTAGCCTTGACAGGTAGTCACTCCCCTAGCCTTGACAGGTGGACAGACCCCTAGCCTCGACAGGTGGACAGACCCGTGGCCTTGACAGGTAGTCAGTCCCCTAGCCTTGACAGGTGATCAGTCACCTAGTCAGTCCCCTAACCTAAGTTGCCCGATATGCTCTGCCTAACCAGGTTTTTTATAATAATATGCTAATGACGTTAGCTAGGTGTATATCAGTTGTATCCTGTGCTTGTTCAAGTAAACTATGTAGAAGAGAGGTAGAAGCATGATAATATATTCGACGGGGCAATAGCCTAGTGAGTATTTCTCGGTTGAAGTAAGGTACTGTTACAGCACTATGGTGGGGGCAAACCTATGGTGGTGGCAGACCTATAGTGGGGCAGACCTATGGTGGGGGCAGCCCTATGGTGGGGCAGACCTACGGTGGTGGCAGCCCTATGGTGGGGGCAGACCTACGGTGGTGGCAGCCCTATGGTGGGGGCAGACCTATGTTGGTGGCAGCCCTATGGTGGGAGCAGACCAATGGCGAAGGCCCAGTGACTCTTCTTTGGTTAATAAGTTTATTTACGTACATGTACACATAAGTACAATTATTATATATATAGTAGAGTGCAGGTGAGAGAGATGTATCATAATCTACACTTGGAAGATTCTGGAGGGACTGGTCCCTAATGTGCACACAGCAATCACTCCATACGAAAGCCAAAGACTTGGCAGGCGATGCAACATACCCCCAGTGAAAAGTAGGGGCGTCACTGGTATACTAAGAGGAAACGCAATAAGTGTCCGGGGCCCAAGACTGCTCAACAGCCTCCCACCAGCAATAAGGGGCATTACAGGAAGACCCCTGGTTGTCTTCAAGAGGGAGCTGGACAGATACCTAAGGACGGTGCCGGATCAGCCGGGCTGTGGTTCGTACGTTGGATTGCGTGCGGCCAGCAGTAACAGCCTTGTTGATCAGGCCTGATCCACCGGGAGGCCTGGTCGTGGACCGGGCCGCGGGGGCGTTGATTCCCGGAATGCCCTCCAGGTAGACTCCAGGTAGTAACATATGGACAGAACGGAAGGGTGGACGCGAACCGCCGCCCAAAAATTGAGTCCGACGCTCTAGTCTCTGTTACCCAGGTGTCTAACAGGAAGGATTCGGAGGTAATAAGTATTACCTCCGAATCTTTCTTGTTGGAGGCCTGGATAGTCCAGACGGTAGAACATCTGACTGTCATTTTACGGGCCGCGATTCGCGCCCCGTCCACCTTTCTGCTTATCCATTGGCAGCTGTTTATTAAAACTTAATTTGAGTTCCCAGTGACAAGTGTAAATTACCTAGGATAACCTAAAAGAAGTCAGACAAGTTGATTTATTTCCAGTGGGGTCAGTCTTCGATTCTAGTGAACCCGGTGAGTCTTGGATTCCAGTAGTGTAGCAAAGTTGTCACAGACGCCCTGTAATAGAGGCACAGAACATCTTTTTGGATTCAAATGGCGTCTTCAGTCCAGAGCCGGATTAGGATTTTGTAGGTCCCTGGGCTACAGGTACAGTGAGGGCCCCAGTGATATTTTCAAAAGGAAACAAAATTAAATATTAAATTTATTTTTACGAGGCTAACCACAATTAATTTCTCGGAAACAATTTCTCCACAACATCAATAAATTGTAAGTTTTTGAGAAAATCTCTGGAGGCTCTCCAGCTGCCGGAGGCCCCTGAAGACCATGCCTTAATCCGGCCCTGCTTAGGCCCATGTGCACGATGGTGTGAGTCATCTCCAACTCGTCTACTACCTTTCCTACTCACACGGAGCTAGCAGGAAGCAGCAGAGATGCTGATGCAGCAGCAGAGATGCTGATACAGCAGCAGAGATGCTGGTGCAGCAGCAGAGATGCTGATGCAGCAGCAGAGATGCTGGTGCAGCAGCAGAGATGCTGATGCAGCAGCAGAGATGCTGATGCAGCAGCAGAGATGCTGGTGCAGCAGCAGAGATGCTGATACAGCAGCAGAGATGCTGGTGCAGCAGCAGAGATGCTGATGCAGCAGCAGATATGCTGATGCAGCAACAGAGATGCTGGTGCAGCAGCAGAGATGCTGATGCAGCAGCAGAGATGCTGATGCAGCAGCAGAGATGCTGGTGCAGCAGCAGAGATGCTGGTGCGGCACCAACAGTTACAACTCGAATGTTTAAAGACCTTTCAGTTCCCAAAAACTAGGCTCCATTGGAGACATCACCCGAAACCTGGTCGGCAGACACAGATCGCCTGGGTGATTCAGGTCTGCTGTGGCTGGTTGGTAAGGTTCATCAGGAAACAGAACAAGTGTTTCCTGACGCGGGTCTCAGTCAAATGATGACCCTCAGCTGGAGCTTTTGGTCCTCTAACAGAGACCTTCCACTGGCTTACCGGTCCACTCCTTTAAAAATTATGGTCATTATGACCATAATTAACCATTTTTTATGTCTGCACTGCTTTATTCTGTGAGGAATAGAAGCGCTAGGATGAAGACATACATCAGACAGGTAAGGTGCAGCAGCTGGGGGTGGCGTCACAGATGAGTGGAGCTAACTAGTGGATGTATTTCATGCCAGTAGAGTACCTGCAGATACCAATAGGTACCTAGAACTGTATTATATAAAACACAGTTTTTATGTCTCAAACTTGCATAAATTATTCTGAATTCCACGTTCAAATACAGCGCATCTGGGATATATTTTTACTCCTCCGTGTTGTCATAATAATAATAATAATAATAATAATAATAATAA